CACGTGCCGAATGAGCCGAGACCTGTTCGCCTCTCACGCTGCTACCGGTGAATGTCCGGTTAGCTTCACTTAAGAGTGATACTTTGAAATAATGCGGGGTCCTGAAATGAGTCCGATTCAGCACTCTCTCCCGATGATGTTAGCGACCTGCCTCGTGCAGGCTCGGTGCCCAGTCAATCTCTCCATATCACTGAAAGAGTCATTTCTTACTCAAGATGTATAACAACGATCGTCCTGCGGGCTGCGGCAGCTGCATGCCGCTAAAGTGTGACTTTCCCGGTTCGCGCTTGCACGCCAATTGTAGTTTAACGAAAGCGTACCGGTATAATATGTTAGGTTGACGACAGTTGCCATAAGACCCCCCCCCCCCCCAATTCCCCCGTGGGGCCTTGGCACTACTGCACCGCGCAGGTGACGGTTGTGTGTATCCCCTGTAATTTAGATCCGCCGTCTCAACTACTCTCTCGCTCCAAAGCCGTGAGGGCTTGGCACTGACACATGCACTTGGTGCTATGGTTCAGATCACAACAGATGCAGCCCGATCCGACAGTCTGGTTTAGCTGTGCTAATGTCACGGGCGGGAAGCTGTGAGCACCAGCCGAACCTTACCTGGATGCCGACGAGACCCAGCGGCATCTCCTCTACACCCACCCACCATACATACATGCAAGCTTCAGATTCGTCGCCCGAATCTCGCTGCATCTACACCTAGTAGTAGGCTGGGCTCTGATGAGCGGCAGAATGCATCTCGTGCCCAAAGCAATCCAAGCGCCCGGCCATCGTGCCGCTTCTCCCACACAACGACACGCATCATTGGCATATCAAAACAGACTGCGACATGTGCTGACCAAAGTGTCCCTGTTCCAGTCACCATTGGTGACCACCTAGCTGAGGTAAATATGTAAATATCGCCTGCTTCTCCATCCCAAGACGCTCGACGTGGATCCTTGAGCCGAAACCTGTATTCCATCAACTGTCGCATCGTCCGTCTCTCTTCCAACCGACCCTGCTCTGCTTCCCATGGCGCAGGAGAACCGCTTATACATATTAAAACCGCATGCTGATCCCTCTCGTGGTCGTCGCCACTGGCCTCACCCTGCTGAGTTAGTCGCTCACAGCCCTACCACAACATAGGCCTCCAGTAATCTCGAGGCCCTCGTCGCCACATATCCTTGGCTGTTATCTTCTTGGTGGTGTCTGTATCGTCGACGGACGGCCTGATGCTCAACATTCTGGACCCTATATTTCGACACCACGGCATCAGACAAACTACACCCCTGCATTAAAATCCAATGCCATTGCCGTGCTGAGCCCCCCTTTGATGAGCCTCTCGTTGGGACCTGCTCGTTTGTGAGCCAGCCTTCCTTATCTGTCCGGTCATGACACTTGGTCAACAGATCAAGCCTGTTCCTTGCCACCCGATTGTGAACCCGAAGCTATTGCCTTGCCCAAAGCATCGTCAGCATAGAGACCCGTGCTTTCACCACCCTTCGACGCATCCTTTTGGCGAAGGAGCTCAGCAATTTCTTCGCTCGTAATTGATGAAGTGCCACCCGAGTCGGATTGCGTCGGGGAACTCTCCATCTTGCTTTTTACCCCTTCTTCGGCCGCCTTCTCCTCCGCTTCTTTCTGCTTCTTCTTTTCTTCCGCCTTCTTCGCTTCCTCTTCGGCTGCCTTCTTGGCTTCTTCGACCGCCTTCTTCGCTTCCTCTTCGGCTGCCTTCTTGGCCTCTTCCTCAGCCTTTTTCTTTTCGGCATCCGTTGGGCCGAGGCCGCCCTCTCCGTTGTCATCATCGCAACGTTCGCGCTCCAGTTTCATGTCCATGATTATGCTGAGCTCTGGGCAGTAGTTGAAAATCTTCTTTCGCTGTTGCGGATTCTTCCAGACCGCATCCGAGAGGCTATTGCCACCGTCCCTGACATGGTAGCCCATGGGCTTTTCCAAGTACACGTCTTCCACGGCCAAGACGCCTTTGTTTCCGTGGGCGACTTTCTCACCTTTCATAATCCAAAGCCGCTTGCCGAACCATTCGTCTTCGGGTTCCGTGTCGTTGTATCGTTCCTGGAATTCCAGTACCCTCTTGATGGAGGATACTCGTCGGAGAGAAAGGCCACCGTTGCCCGAGAAGCGGTCGTCAGGGGTTCTGAATGCAGGGTTAGCAAGAAAGGTCAGCATCAGTCAATACATTGTCATGTCATACCTGGGAGCGCCGGCCCAGCTCCACCCTAGCCACTCGTTGAGGCTTCTGGGCGAGTTGGAACAGAGAATGCTATCCGACTCGAACTTTAGAATCCATTCCACCTCAGGGAGGAATTCGTTATAGAATCGCACGTCGGTCAACAGACGAAAGACATGCTCTTTGGTGTTGATCTTCCAGGGGTCGGGAAGAACCATCAGATCAAGTTTTCCGATGACTTGCTGGTGCTTGATGCCGTAACTTCGACCGACGCTGACCACGCTTTTTTTGGAGCCAATAAATAGAAACCTCCAGTCCGGAGGCACAACGGAAGTCATGTGGAGAAGTTGAGGCACAAGATGCGGGATAGGGCGCGGTTCAATGATCAACGCCAGCTTGGAGGCGTTGTATTTGGCTCGCGGGTCGGTGGCGGGCTCCCAGTCGACCTTGATCTTTGGGATTTTCTGTCTTGCCTCATCTAACCTCGATTTGAGCTCGGCCTTGATCATGGGTTTGTAGCCAGGAAGAAGATGAGCAAACCACCAGCTATGCTTCGTGTTAGCAGCCTTCTCTTTCGTCCCCTCCGAGAGTCGCTTGACGTGTTCATGATGGGGAGACAAACGTTATGGCAAGTGACACAAAAAGCAGAAGCCGTAATTTGGTGATGGCGAACCCGCCTGCGGAACCGTTCGTGGCAGTCATGGTGCTCGAGATTTACATCAAGGGATGGCGCAGGAGAGCCGCAGCGCGAACGAGGGGACTGGACGGCGACAAAAGCGTTACAGCGGTTGCAAATGAGGTCGATGACAAGGAGTTCAAGATGACTCGATTCGCAGAAAGAAAACGAAAGTGTCCGAGTCGGCAAAGGTCAACGGCACGGCATGTCGGCCACGTGTTGAAAACCGCACAGAGTGTATGCCAATGTGAACTTGGGCAATAGATATCCAGGGAGGGATTCGGCTTTCCAAGGGCTTCGAGCCACAGATAGCTCTAGGAGGTAAGCGAGACTGAGATACGGTTGGTCCTGCAGGCGGCCAGGCGAGAGCCAGTTGTCATTCAAGGGAGGAGGGAGGGAGGGATGGGAAGGGGGGTAAAGGACAAGAGGGTATGCTTGTTAGATGACGAAGTGTCGGTGGGCACGGCCAAATGCTGAGATGAAAAGTTACCGAGATCCGAATTGTTCTGCTGGGTTGCAAGGGTAGGGTCTTGGAGAGGAATCCGGAGAATAGGAAGGAGTAATCGGTAACTCCGTGTACCGTACTTGCTTTACAGACGAGAAGGCTAATATGTCATGGAAGTGGGGGGGCATGAACGGGAACATGGATCACCTTGGCACAGGGAAGCAGGTTGATGTGTACACAGAAGACGACGACGCCGGCGAGATGAGATGGACATTTTTAGGGAAGGCTCCAGTGACAAGAAAGTACTCGCAGGTACCTTCTCTCCGGTGCTGCTGCTGCATGTAAGGAAGTAATTCACTGCCGCATGTCTTACTTACACTGGCCCTTCCCTTATTGGTAATTTTTGTGCGTCGTAAGCCGGAAGCTACCTACCCAACTTCACTCTGGTGACAAAACAGATGGCCGGTTGCCAAGTAGAAACATACCAAGGTTAGATACCCACCCAGGTTATGTCGGATTGGTCTATGTACTGTGGATGCCGCTACAAGGTAAATACAATCTCAAACCAGTACGGAGTAGATACTACTACCTAGGTATTGCTAAGGTTCGCCAGAAGCCCTCCGGAGCTCCAGCGTCGCCGTCGTCGTCACCAAACTCTATCTCTCGTTGTCGCGGTTGTCCCTCAAGGCTGTCTTTCCCTGCCCGGAAACACCGCCAGCCCCGGCATTTGCTCATAAAGCCCCCAGGGTGTTCCTCCATCCCAGGTCGCAGCGTTCGTCGATCATGTCGTCTTCGCCCCTGCTTCTCCCATGCAAGATACCTATCGGGGACCTTCATGACTCGATGTCGGAGCTCGGCATTGTTTGCACACGGCTGTGCGATACGTCAACTCCGTATAGATATACCTACGCACGCGCGACTCGTTGGTCGACTATCTACGAGCGTTGTGCGAGTTCCTTTCTCCACGACTTGGCGCGATGCAGCCTTACTTGCGCTGCTCCTGTTGGGCACTAGTTCCATGCGATAACAGAACGTTGTCCGCTTCAGCCTACCGCGTATTGACAAGGTCTGTTTTCGGAGAGACAAGGTCTAGACGGCAAAGCCCTGCATCGGGCGCTGCCGCTACAGACTTGGGGTTTTTGGGAAACCTTCCATCTTGGTCGTCGATCCATGCCAGCCCCGGATGGATGCAAGCGTGCGGCGAAGCATTTGCATGGACTGGTGCCAACTGCCGGTTGCGGCGGGGGATTCTGTCAACTCATTCCTCTGACAGTTGCACAGAGCACACTGCGACTCGACAGATCGGTGTCAGCCGAGCTGACTGCCACCGGTATCACGGTGCATTCGTTCCGTACGTCGTTTCCCCATGTAACCTGCTTTTCGTCCCAAAGTCGAAGCCGACATGAGACACAAATCTCAGCACCGTCTCCCTTGTACGATGGTACCAGGCCAAAGTTAATTACCCCTGTTAGGTAACTAATGTTCACCCCCCTACTACGGGACTTCACTTTTGGTGAATATTCACCCTCTATTATGATATCAGCTGTGGGGGGTAACATCATAGGGGTAATTAACTTGGCCCTGCCACCCTGTACATACACCTGCAGCTTGTGCCTGTTCAGACGGCCGATGGACCATGTTACCCGTACTACCCATGGTTACCAAGGTACGGCTCTCTGCAGGATCGAAAGAGTGGCCGGCGCCCCGGCTCATCCCACCGATGGCTGTGCGAGATGGAGGTCAGGGTTCGCTGTTAGCAGAGAGAAGTTCTACAGGGATGAAGCTACTAGAGACGAGCCTCGACTTCATTTACTCTTCTTCTTTGGATTGGGCTGCGATTATGCGACGAGTCGAGTCTGATCTGCTTGTTCCACACTACCTAGCAGAGTGCGTCCCCGCCCCCAGCACACCAACGACTATGTTCTTGAATTCGACTTGTGGGAAGGAGGCGGGATGTGAGTGAAGGAGGCTTGAGATCTACGTAGGCATACAAGTACAAACAGGGAGTACGGATACTCGGATGATACATGCAGGTACCTGGCCTGTCGGCAATTGGCCAAATTAGATACTGGCTCCATCCGGTTACATCTCGCGGTTTGATAGGTAGCGTGGGCAGCAAGGGTGGTCTCACTGTTCTGGAACAGATTCGTAGGTACTCATGGCAATCCCTATTGAGGTGGCGGGGTCTCACTTAAAAGGTTGCACAGGTACTCCACTCCGTACACAATAACACTCAATCCCAGTATAAGTCAATACACTTTAGGAGATATTTCTAGATACTGGAATTCCTAAAGTATGTGTGAAACTTCCACGAACCAGGGCTAGACTTGTTGATGATTGGTCCCTGCTAAACAAACCACCGCAACTCCCTTTTTCTTACCTTCCTTTCTCCCATCTCCCATCTCCCTCCTCTCCTCCCTCCTCTCTCCCTCCCTCCTCTTTCGAACTCGACCCTACCGCGGTACATAGCAGTTTACTACCTACCTACCTACCTACCGGTACCTACCTACATGACTAGCGTTACCTATCTGCCTAGTAGGTAGGTACGTGTTGCACGTGAGGTACCTGAGGTAAGGGATGCAAGAGCAACCCTGTCTTACCTGCCTACATACCTATGTATCATCGGATCCTTCCTTCCTGTCCTGTCCCTCGCTAGATCAGAAGGGGCGGTGTCAAGGGAGGAGTTGCCAGAGGAAAAGCACGTCTATTGTGACTTACTAGCATAGGTATGTGTCAATCGTACTCTCCCAGCATCTCCATTTATCGCTATCCCTTCCATCCTTTGCGCCTTTTTTTTTCTTTTCTTTTTGCTTACTTTTCTTCTACCAACCCCATCTTCGTCCAACTCAACCGACCCTCGTACCACCGTCCGGGTTATGAGCTGTCGCCTGTGCGAGTAGCTGTTTTGTTTTACAGCGAGCTGTTGTTGTTGTCGTTGTTGTCGTTGCTGTTGTCGTCGTCGTCGTTCCCAGCCGAAGGACCGACATGTACTGATTTCATTATAAGCTACCAGACCCATCCACGTCATCGACCTTGTGTTCTTTCGCTGTGGACCGGCCTGAACTGCGAACGCGAGCACGCCCACTCCCAGGGCCGCTCTGGGCTCGAGTCGCATTTGACAACTAACCCTCCTCAGAGATTGAACCTTGCTTTACATCTCTCTCCCATTCATTTCGTCTTGAAGAGACTGCTTTCTCTGTCCGCCTACTGTCAACATGTCCTCGCCCTCAGAGGGCGAGCCAACCATGGCAGATGTGTGGGAGAAACTCAAGCTTGTCATTTTCAAGCTCTGGCGCCAGACGAGCCGCCGCATGAGAGTAACTGGCGCTTTTATACTCTTTCTGTAAGCTGATGGTCCCAGAAACCCCGGGCCGAGTTGAGTGCTAAACTTGTCGTGTTAGTGTTGCTTCGTTATGGCTCTCTCTGCCCTCGATCAAGACAATGACCGTGCCGCAAATCTCTCTCGAATATGCACATTCGCCATACAACCACTCTAAGGTCGCTCTCCTCGTAGAGAACAGACCCAATCCCATTCTCGCGCCTTTGATGCTGCACTTCATCTCCGTGGTGCCACCCGATTGGCGCTTCCGCTTCATGGGCTCTATCGAGTCCGTCAAGTTCATAAACCAGTCTGTTGCTATTCGCGAACAAGTCGCCGCTGGCAAATTGGACCTGACCTACATTCCCGCCAACATGAGCACAGCTGGTCAGGAGATGATCAGTCGTTATTTAACAAACCTCTGGCTCTATGAGACGGTCCTGCAGCCTGCCGAGTGGCTCCTCGTCTTTCAGACAGACAGCATCCTCTGCGCCAACAGTAAGAGGAACATCAACGACTATCTCGAGTATGACTGGATCGGTGCCCCCTGGAACCCTGGCGGCCGCTGGGGTGGCAATGGCGGCCTGTCAATACGTCGTGTCAGCGCCATGATCGACATCCTGAGAAATCAGCAGCGCGTCGACAATTCAGAGCCCGAGGACGTTTGGCTTGCCGAGCGCCTTGCTCACCATCCGGGAAGCAAAGTGGCCAACGGTACCGTGTCGCTGTACTTTAGTGGCGAGATGCACGTAGGTGAAGGAGCCAAAGTCAAGACAGGAGACGATGCAACACTCGAGGCTGCCGCTGAAGGAGAGTTGATATCGGGTATCGACGACTCTCGTCAAGGCTTCTACGAGCCCATGGGCTACCACACGGGAGGCAGCGGCGTTTGGCTTCATGGTTCCATATGGGGTTCTCCGAAGCTGCGCAAGCATATTTGGGACTATTGCCCCGAGATCAAACTCACACTTGCCATGGACGCCGCCAAGTATGTGCCCGGCAACTGCAAGGCAAACTGGAAGAGAGACCTTGAGGGCGTGCTTGAGGCGGAAAGTGATGGTCAATCAGAAGCTGGCGAGGAAGCGGAGGATTCGCAGTACCCCTTTGGAACAGAGATCATTGAGGGGAGGGAGTATCCAAAACTGCCGCCCTCTCTGGTGGCATGGTGATGAACGACCAGCTGTCAAAAATCTTCTCTTTTGAGCCTGCACCATGCGATGGTCCCGGAATGGAATAGACATGGCGAGCGGAGTTTGTTGCATCACAGGCACTTGGTGACATATAATTCGATTTGGCGTTTGGGGATCACATTGGTGCAGTGCCTGAGTGGATTCGAACGAGGCCGGTAGCTCAAGTGGTGAATTAATCTGGGCATGAACTATGTACGGATTTGATTTGATCATTGTTGAGACATCCACAACTCTATATGAAACAGTAGTTTGAACATTCAAGGCAGCTCAGATGATGGCTTTCACGGTGAGATGTCAAGCTTCATAGCAGACTCGACCTACATGCGAGGCGCCCCTTGGGGTTCAACTCATCTGTCGCCATCCGTACAAACTGTATCCGCGCGATATTGACGCGCACAACGTACGACATGCAGCCTACTACTGCCTGCGTAGAACACCAGGACTAGGTAAGGGCGGCAAAGTGTAAGCCAGGTAACAATACAAACTGGTCCTCTGAAGACAGGGAAGAAGAAGAAGAAGAAGAAGAAGAAGAAGAAGAAGAAGAAGAAGAAGTTCGCTTACAAGACAAGCCGTCCCGTCCTCATGGAATGCGCGGCTTGCGACAAGACGGACAGATCCCTGGGCAGAAGCACTCCAGGAAAATGATCCACTGCCCTCTCCCCCGACCCTCAGCCTCTGGGTGAACAAGTGCACACTCCCGTGGATAGGTAGATAAAAGGGGCCACAATCGGCTGTCGGATATTGCTACAAAGCTCTGGTCGCCTCTAAACCTCGACCGGCGAGCAGACTGATGGGCCAACAGCAAGTCCAAGCGGGGCGACGGGAACCCATGTTAACCAAGGGCCCAAAGTTATTACAAGATCACTCTTAAAGCACGTAGCCGCCGCTTCCAAGACACTGCCACTCCCTCACACCGGTGCCCTCCTCCAGCTCGACGCACCACCAGAGCACCTCCTTGGCCTTGTCGATCTGGCCGCTCTCCTCGTGAGCCCGGGCCAGGGCGAACCAGGCCTCCGCGTTGTTCCAAGCGCTGCCGAGCTTTGTCAGTGACGACAGCAGCCCATAGGCACGGTCGCGGGCGGCGAGGCGGTCGATCTTGGGAATCGAGGTCGCCTTGTACGGAACCGGCAGCTTCTCCTCCGACTCCGTCCTATCCAGCGAATTGTCCGACGACGCGGCCGTGGCGGATTGCTGGGCGTTGTCGGTCTTGATGAATCCCGAGCCCGATGCGTGGGAGCCTAGGCCGAGAGGCTCCGACGGCAAGCCGTATTGAGGGATCGCCGATTTGGGTAGGTCTGAGGGCGGAAGGTAAAGATTGGAGACGTCCTCGGGCACGCTGAGGGTGGGAATCGCCGGAGGCGGGAGGACCTTCTCGCTGTAGATGTCGAGCAGGATGTCGGACAATCCCACAATGGCTGCTGGGTGGTCGGGGTAGTGGGTTAGTGCCATCTCGAAGTCTGACCGGGCCAAGTACGGCGACCCCTTAACTAGAGAGAGATAACCTAGCTGTTGGAGCCGTCAGTCACCGAAGCCCACAATCGGTGCAGAAGTAGAACTTACCTCAGCCCACACGTCTCCCAGCAATTGGTCAACGCCCTTCCTTTCCGCCCAAGTGTTACCTCTCATGGACAAGGAGCCTGTCGGGTCTTTTGCGACTTCGGCCTCGAGCATACCCACAAGCTTCTGCGCCTCCGAGATGGCGCCTTTCGCATCCTCAAACAAGTCGGCACGTCGGTAAAACCCCGCAATCATTAGCCATACTTTGACGAGGAGAACTGCCCTCTGCCTCCGCTGGGTATCCGAGGGGAAGTGGATCAGGGGCAGTGGGTTAGAGATGGTGTAAGTGCCGCTGGCAGAGATTTCCGAGAAATTCGTCGACCTCGACTTCTGGGATGTGTACGATCCCAGGTGATGAAGAGAGCGACCTCGGGAGACAGAAGACGCCGTCGAGGCTTGCCGGTTGCCTGAAAGAGGGAAGAATTCGGATTGCTGCAGCTCGTCCGCAGGAGTGAAGAAAACTTCACCATCCACAACAGTCGCGTGGGTATTGGTGCCAGCGCTACTGACACTTGCCGTCCTCTTGCGAGCGCCGCTGCTATCTCGCTTGCGAAGGCTGGACCTCTTACCCGATTCGCTCCTTGCCCGACGTGACACGCCGGAAAGTCGCCGTGTCTTCTTCTCTGTGGACGATTCAATCTCTTGCGTGACGTGTATTGTTGGCGCGATGCTGGTTGCGCTCGTTTGAGGGCGCGATTGGGTGGCCGTCTTCTCACTCTCGGCGATGCTGGCTTGCCGTGTTCGCGTGGATCCAAAGATGCTCCCCCTTATACTTTTCAGTGTGCCAGCCGAACTCCTTAGCACCACGGTGTCGACCGTCTTGGGCGGTTGCATAGTTGGCTTGGTTTCGAGGCTGCCAAACAACCGCATAAATAGTGACATCAACTCGGAGCCGGCGTTGACAGCGACATCGGGCCCTTCGAGCAGCTCGAGAAGTGCAAGTTGGGTCATTTTCACTTCGAGAATGCTCTCCTTTTCGGTATCGTCCATATCGTCTACGGCCCCCCTTCGCTCATTGGCGATCTTCTCATCCTGAGCTTCAGCCTCATTGAGGTGCTCACTCTTGAAGTGCAGATCCTGTCTTCCGAACAAGACAGAGGGGTCGCCGAACTGGTCGAAAGCGCCCTCACAGGCCTTGGCCGCCATGTTATAGTCCTGCCTTGCGCTCAGTAACAGAGCCAGCAGGTGCCAGAGAGGGACCAGTGAGCGTTGCTGCCAGTATGCACCGTGGTAAAGATCTTGGTCGTCGTCTGCCGATTTATTGGAGATCAGCGCCGTTTTGACAATGTCGATTGCCGGGGTCAATTCTCGTCTCTCGGCGAGGAGCAGGCCGAGGGCAAACAGACTGCGAACATCCCGAGTGCGACCCAACTCTGGGGACAGAGATTTCCTCAGGCACCTGATGGCCTTGGCCTGGATCTCAGTCCGCGATGCCGCGTCGTATGTGGTTCTCGACCAGTGTGCCTGAGATAGGCCTATCGCTTGCCAAGACAGGGCAATCAGGTGAGGTCGAATTGCGGGGTGAAGGGCAGTCTTGCCATCCTCTTCCGGCACCGTGTTCTCGTTTTCGATGCCGTTTCTCAACTGCGGAAGCCTCGCCAGCCAATCCTCAAGCTCGTTTCCGATAACGCGGGCCTTCTCGATGGCTTCTGTTCCGCCATAGCGACATAGTGCTAGAACGCACTGCGACATTGTCTCAAGGACGGTACCATCGTCATCAAGGTTGGCCTCCAGATGACCCGTCTTGTCGACTCTGGCCTTCCCGTGTCTGACGAGGTCGAGGTACGAGTCGAAAGCTTTGAAGGCCAGGTCGAACTCGGCTACAGCCAGATGGACGGTGAAGAGACAGCGAAGAATAGCGGTTGAGTGGTACGTCTTGGTCGCCATGGCATAAAGAGTGTCGAGAACGCCTCTGCTCAGACTCTCGCGGCCCCCCTGGCCAAGATCCTGCTCTTTCCATCCGCGACCGCAGAGGATAGACCAGTTCCTCACAACAACCCTGACAAACGACTCGACCTCTTCTCTCGTCTCGTCCGCCCGCGGGAAACTGGTCTCGCTGATGAGGAGGGCCTCGTACGCGGCCTCCGTCTTCTTGAGCTCAATCTTTAGTTGACTACTCGCAGAAGCCTCCTCTGTGGCTTTATCGAGGAAGCCCGTGGGGTATGGTATGTCCAGTTCGAGGATAGTGGACAATGCCAAATAGTACTCCAACCAGACTTGTCGCCTTGGCACAGAGCCCTTGTATCCGCAGCCTCCCGTGACCGGCCCTGCCATGGATTCCCAGTACCTGGCCCAGGCTCGGAAGCAGGCAAGCGAGTCTGGATCCGCGAGTGGCCGCTCGTTCGCTCGGAGCGCTTCGCTATGGAGCATACAGTACTCGGTGAGGAACAGTTCGGACCAGACCTTGGACTGCCTAGGAACGCTGCGGCCAGTCCAGGCCGTTGAGACCGAAGGCAACGCAGAGTCGAAGACGACGAGTGCTTCTGCCGTCTTGTTGTTGCGTGCTAGACAGTCCGCCTTGATGAAGGCAGCCTTCAGGGCGCTGATGTTGGTCCATTCCGACACCTTGTCGGTCGCACCGAGTTGCGCAAGCTCCTGTTCGATATCCTGGGGCAAGCTGGCGACAGCCTGATCAAACGCCTCAGAGACCCAATGCAGCAAGCCTACGCAGACCTGAGCCTGAAATCTGTCCTCCGGAAACTTTGTCTCGGCTTCTATGGCGGCCTGCAACTTGGATTGCACGTTGGGGGCATCGAGGTCCTTGGAGACGGCAGTCGAAGGTTGGCTGGCACCAGACGGGTCGGTGGCTTGGGCGATGGCGCATTCCGTTTCGGCAGCCAGGGTCAGACCTAAGGGGGGCTTGGAGTCAGTAACGGGGGCATCGCGGCGTTCGCGTGCTTGTTTCGAGGTCACCGACAGGTTCGATCAGGGGCATGTTTCCTGATTTTGCGGACAAACTCGGGGACGGCGCTCCAATTGCCCTCGCATCTCGCATCGTCGAGGGCCTTGATGTAATGGGCGGCCTTGTTTGGGTCGGGCTGCAAGAAACAAACAGATAAGCACATTGGTCAGTGTCCAGCTCGACGTCATGGGGGTTCAAGGACCAGGGGGCGGTCTGGCGAAAGGAGCCATAGAATGTGATAACTTACAGCCATTGCGCGATGCTTGAGCCTATGCCGATGATGAAACAGAGATTCGAACCAATCCTACTAGCAGCGCATCTGGATCCACGGCATGGTATTGCTGAAAATGCCTGCCTACTTGGGGGTGGGAGGGAGGGAAAAATGAGGTGGAGGGAGGTTGGCGATGTTTATGTCCCAAAGAATGGCTTAATTAATAACGGCACGTTGTTCAACCGATTGGATTGACGCGGTTGGCATGCGCTTTGGTTGTTTGTAGTGCGTGCTGCCACCAAGTACCAAGTGTACTGGGCCGGCAGACAAGTGACAGACAGCCTAGGTAGGTAGGTTGGATACCTACCTATCTGATCCAGTCGGTGTAGATGTACGGGCCTTACCGCTGTGGGTTAGGTACACGGTCGGCAGGTTGTGAAACCGATGGGAATTTGAGCTTGTGGCTACATACCTACCTAGTAGACTGTAATAGTAGCCAACCAGCAAGGTTCCTAGCACGGGCAAGAAACGATGGTCAGGGGTTAACAACAGGCAAGCTTTAGCAGTGTCTGGACCACCTTACATAACCGATACGGTGGGAACCCTAATAGCCAATCATGTCTCAGATACCCGGTCAGTCGAGGGTACATGTTAGATGTACCTTTCACTTACAGGGAAAAAAAAGTTTCATTCAGCATCGACAACTTGTGAAGACTCTAGCTGGGACCCAAGATATTGCCCATTTACTTTCAATCCTGGGCTCCAATCACCAATCCAGAGCTTCAATTGACCGCTTTCAACCCAGACGCTCTCAATACTCTAGCAACATGTCTCTCCCGCCGGATCTAAAGGTCCTTTGCCGTCGGTTGACTTCTACACCACCGGCTCAGCTCCCTCACTCAATCCCGGCCTTCATCAACCATGTCCTCCGCTGCAAAGATGTCCTGTCTGCGCCGCAGGACCCCAAATCAACATACAGCTCATCTGAAGCCTCAACTCTGGTTCATAAGCTGAGAACCATCATCACGACCCTGTTGAACGGCAAGAGTGCCATGGGGCGCTTCACTGGCGCAACCCTCGTCAAGGCCGTCATCGATGTGGGCGGCTGGGAGTGCCTCAAGGAGTCAGGCAACTGGGTTCGCGGGCTTTTGGCTATGCTCCAGGTAAGGCCAAAGTGACCTGTGTTCCCCTCTCCAGCTCCATTCGCTGACATGCTGTAGAAAAACGACCCCTTCCCGGTCAAGGAGATTGCCATTGTCACCCTCGTCCGGATTTACACTCTCATCCATGGTTACCAAACTCTCACCAGAGAGATCGCGACGCCCACCATTCCGGCCTTCTTCAATGCGTGTCTGCAGCTGATCAAGCTCCCAGCAGCGGGTCAACACCTCAAGACGCCACTGGCCGTCGTCGAGACTGTCCTCGACGCATTCTCCGCCCTGATCCCCGCCTACCCGACGACCTGCCGCCCTTTCAACGGTCAGATCAGGACGGCCATCCGTCCCTACTTGGCACCTACCTCGTCTGATGGCATAGCGGTGCCCCAGTCGCTTCGTCGGGCTAGCAGACACCTAGCCATCTCGCTCCCTCTTACCACGGCAGGCAAGACGGGTCCGAGTGATGACTGGGCTAAGCTGGTTGGCGAGCTGAGGGAAGAGTTTCACCTGAATGCTGACCAGGTCTTCCGCGCCGTCCAGGAGTCCTGGGAGGCCTCGGCACCCTACGCCCGTTCCAAGGTAGACTTTGACGCGCAACCGCAGGGTCTCGAGGTGCCCGGCCGGCTGCCCCAATGGACCGGAATATCCGCCGGCCGTGACAGACTCGTCGGCCTGCTCCATTACCTGGCCGACGCGCTCCGTTATTCGACGAAGACGCCTGTCACAATCCCCGTCGCTGCCATCATGGATGTCGTCTCTCGCGTCTCGCTCATCAGCCGCAACTCCAAGTCCCAGTCTTGGGACCAGGCGCTCGAGACCCAAGCCGCCGTGGGCAGGGAGGAAAAGGAGGAGCTCTGGGCCGCGATGCCCGACATCCATGTCGCCGCCCTGGATCTCCTCCTGATCCTAGTGCAGAGGCTAGAGCGCAACGCGCTGTCGACCGTTCCTGAGATCTACGATAATATGATGCTCATCTTCCGCTCCGGCATCAGCATCCCTGCCGTTCGCGCCGCCACCTATAGGCTCCTCGACGAGACCCTCCCCATTGCCGGCCCCGGCCTGCAGAAGCTCACTGTCGAGGCCCTCGGCATTGTCTCGTTGGCTTGCTGCCGCGACATCCAGCAAGAATCAGGCTACGTCAAGGAAGCGAAAACCGTCACCAAGACTGCCGCCGAGACCAAGAAGAACAATATCGCCGCCAACGCTGATCTCTTTCTCCCCTCGCAGACTTCTGCGGAATCCGCGCCCACGTCCAGACCTACCCTCGACCCCTCGCACCTAGCCGCTGCCGAGTCCCTCCTCGCCGGCCTTCTCACTCACCTGCCCCAGCAGCATCTCAAGCCGGGTCTGCGCGGCCTCCTGGACCAGACGGCCATCCTGTCGCACAACCGCGACGCCATGATCGCCAGCGTGCTGAACCCCTACGTCAACCAGGGCGGCGCCATGTTCCCAAGCATCCTGCCGTACCTCGCGCAGCAGTTCCCGCACGACCGCGGCGTCGAGATCCTGCGCTCCAACATTCGCACCTCGACGCAGGGGTCTTCCGACGTCCTCGAGGGCGTCAACGCCACTCTCGAGGAGCTCGAGGCCGAGGAGGCCGCCGAGGACGGCGACGAGGACATCGCTTCGGAGATCGAGGTCAAGGGGGACGCCGAGGACCAGGAGATGAAGGAGGCCGAGGCCGCGGCTCAGGCGTCGGCTGGAGAGACGATCGTCGTGGCCAACGACATCGAAGACAAGAGCAACCCGTTCCGCCCGTCCAAGGAGGCGGAGGGGGGCTCGATCCAGGTCGCGAACCCCTTCGCCGTGACGTCCACGCAGAAGCGCAAGCTCGACGACGAGGGCGCGAGCCCGCCCAAGAGGCAGAGCGTAGAGGGGAAAAGTGAACGGGTAGTGGCAGCAGCCCCGGCGCCAGCTGCCGAACCGGTCAGAGACGGGGACGGGGACGACAGCGATGATGAGAGCGTTCATCTGAATATGGACCTAGACGATGACGAGGACGATGATGAAGATGAAGAGTAGAGGAGGGGGGGGAATGAAGACGAAGAAAAAAAGAAGGGGAAAAAAAAACGTAGGATATCTGGCTCGTGTCACGTAGTTGTGGATGGACGCAAATGATACCCCATGGGGAAAAGGAGCTTTTCTGAGATTCAAAACAAGTGATTCTGGATATGAAGGAGACAAAGTCTGGTTCTTTATATGAGGCTCATGACCGTCTCTGGCCTCGGCTATATTTTGTACACAATACTGTGATGCCCAGTATTTGAGGCCGTTGCGGCGGACCCAGTCAGATAAGTCTGTAAGGTGTGTGTGTCCGCGACGCGATGTGGCGCGCAAGTTTTTGTACGGCGAATTCCAAGCCGTTCCATCCCCCACCTCCCCCTCCCCCCAGGATCCAAATAATAACAATCCCTCTCAACGCCGCCCATATGAGGAGGTATACTCTCCGACCTCCGCGATCCAAAGGAGGGACCATTTTCAGTGTGAAAGATGTCGCAAAGCCCAAACGATATCAAGAAAAGAAGAAGAAGAAGAAGAAGAAAACAAGAATACCAATCCTCTCTTACGCAGTAGTCTTAATCCCTGAGCCAAGCCCTGCGCTTCTCCTCCTTCCTTGCCCGGCGCTTCTCCTTGAACTGCTTGAGCTCGGCCTTACTAGGCTTCTTGCCGCTGCGCTCGGCCTTGAGGCTGCGCCCGTCGTGGGAGTTGGCCGCCGCGTCGACGTCGAAGAAGGCGTTCATCTGACGCCTGCTCTTGGCCTCATCCGTGTGGCGGTCGGGGCCGTCGTCGAGGGTCTGGAACTGGCCGGTGAAGCGGTTGAACTGCGCGACGGCGCCATACTCGGCTGCGTAGGCCGCTGACGATGCGTGGTTCGCCTCGTTCTCCTCGGCCGTGCTGCCCTTGGCGTACCACGCATTCGGGTCGTAGTCGCCGTGGATGGCGGGGTTGTAGCCGCCTGCGGGGGGTCGGTCGTTCGCCGGGAGGGGAGGGGGGCCGGAGATTGTGGTTGCTGCCGCCGCCCCTGGGATCGTACCTGGGGCTACCGCTGCAGTTGCGCTCATCGAAGCGGCGGCTACGGGAACACGGGGGTTCTCCCACTGGGTAGCGCCGGTGAAGCGGTTGTAGAAAAAGTATGCCTGGGAGGTCGGGTCCCACTGGAAATCCCAGCCATCGTCTTCAGTCGCAGGTGCAGGTTCGGAGGGAAGAGGCGGCGCCTCGTTGGGTAGGGGCGGCGCATTGGAGGAAGATGCGGGCTTCTCGTTGATATCGTTGGCGGGTGCGGGAGACGCGGTCGAGCTAGCCTCGCCAGACTCGGGAGAGCTGGATTGTCTCTTGGAGTTGGAGTTGGAATCGTTGCCGTCGCTCTCGGGAGGAGTAGCTGGGCCTTGTTCGGTTGGTTGCTCGTCATTTGCCTGACCATCGGCCGGTCGGTTCTGTTCTGGCTCAGCCTTGCGCGGGGAGGAGACGAATCGCGTAGAGTCCGGCGCCATGGTTTTGAAGAGAGGAATGCGGGGATAAATAAAGTGATATCTGCGTCTGTGTGTGGTGTGAGGGTGCAAGATAGAGCAAAGTCTCGTGATGGTGAATTTTGAAGCGTCAAATGCTTGTCACCGGGTAACAATAGTCTGCGGGTCTAGCAGGAGCTTCATCGCTTGTTGAAAGAAGTTGGTGGACTTGGAGCGCACTGTGGTGAACGGACAGGTTACGCGCAGGGTAAGAGTGAGGCAAAAGAGGGTTCCAGAGTTGTTGTGTCGGCAGTGCTCGGATCAGTGCAAGTGTTCATTCATTCATCTGAAATCCAAATACAAGGAAGTTAAAGATGGATGCTGCTAAGAGACAGGAAGAGTGACGGCAATTTGACAGGTGAGAAATACGGGGAGGGGAGTACCGTAGGAGGGTCAGTGGTTTGCACCGCTCTGCAACACTGTGCAAATTGTCGATGAAGCTTAGTCATTGTTGCATGGGTCTGGCCGCAATTCATATCAGAGCTAAGTAAAAGTTGTGAGGGCGCGCATTGAGTCTTAGGTAATAATTACAGTTGGGGACTGATCCTGAGTACGCGGAGGCAGTTCCGGACCATGATAGATACCAAGGTAACCCACACTGAGCACACACATACACACAAGCACGCGCGCGGCTGGCTGGACCTGGGTGATGAAGACTTGTAGCTCAATCTGTTCCCAAAACACAGCCTCCTTCTCCCCCTTCCTCCCACCCCATTCTCCCATCTAGCTACATACCGCATATTATCTCTCTGCAACTTTGTCACAGCTTTATTCCAAGTCCGTCTTACAATCAACTATTGAGCCCCTGTTGGTATCTCACCGCATGGTTCTCTCCGTCCATCGGCATTATTCTTTTGCTCTATCAGCTGGTCCCTCTGTCACAGAACGTCCCGTCAACCGCCATTAGAACTGCCGTAGAACCCACCAGTCAATGTCAATGCCCACAGTAAGACTACGCCCTCAACTGCTGTCTCGTCTCAACTTCTCCTCCGGGCTGTTGTTCTGTGCATTTTTGCCTCGCCAGCTCACAGATCGATTAGTATGACACCCATCTCCTCCCATACTTGCGCCGAATGCCCTTCGGTTTCCCACCATCGCAAAACCTACAGCTCGAAATAACCCCCGGCCGAGGCGGTCCTCTCTTGGCACCTGCGCTTGCACGGTCCAGAAAAGACCGTCTTGAGAAAGACAACTTCGAATTCAGGGGGTTCCTCAACGTGGGAAGCGCTAGGGCGCACTAGCTGCGCTCCTCTTTGACCGTCATGTCTGATCAGACCAACCCGTTGCGGGCGTTGCTCCCGGCCCCAAAAACATCACAACCGGTCCCTTCACGCCCACTCCCGGTAGCATCGAGGAAACGACTACCAAGCACCAAAGTTGCTTGCAACGCTTGTCGGTCCAAGAAGAAGGCTGTAAGTATATTGCAGTCAGCTTTCCAGTGATGACAGCTCTGTGATGACCGGAAACTGACAGGCTGGAACCGTAGTGCGATGGCAAAAGACCCGCCTGCACACCTTGCACAGAGCTCAGGGTCCAATGCGTCTATATCAGTGTCAACGAAACGGAGACGTCGGCAATGGCCCTTAAACGAGAAAACCAGATGCTCCGGGACATGTTGACTCAGCTCACGGCGATGCCTGAAGATGTTGCTCATCAGACGCTTCAGAAGCTGAAATTCGCTGTCGACCCGTTCGCCTCCCTTCGCTCCGTTAGACCATCCGGGCCAAAAGACCCCCGCGAAGTTCTGCCTCATGTCCATTCCAACATCGAGTTTGAACTCGCAAGGAGACACCCTTCCGCGTACCCTCAAACTCGGAGATTGTCGCGTATGAAGATGTCCGGGAGCATGGGACCTAGGCCAGCTAAGGTGTCGCGGATCGCACCCTCGGCCGGGGAGGGACTGCCAGTTCTGGGGGATGGCAACCACCTCGTCACCGCCGAAACAGTGAAACACAGTCCTTCAGTCTCGTCAAAGACATGTACTTGGCCATACAACACAGCTTTCTTTGCCCCACCAATGGGGCCCCTCCCTCCGCCTCCTCCGCCTATTCACAAGGACCCCCGGTTGAAGAACCTTAACATTGGTTTCTGGACCGTGGTGCCCATAGCCGACCAAGATGCAGCAGATATCATATCACTATACCTAGAAACAGATCATCCTCTCTTGGGTTTGTTTGACGCTGACCTATTTCTGGATGACTTGATTGGTAGTCGATTTCGTTATTGCTCTGCTCTCCTCGTCAATGCCCTGCTTGCATTCGCCTGCGTAAGTCTCCCCCAGATCCCGCCCATGAGATTCCATAGTTGACTCTCCTGCTCAGCAAGCGTACGCCGCAAAGCAGCCAGAGGCGTCTCGCTGGAGTCAAGATTTTGAAGAAGAGGCAAGCAAGCTCTGGCTCGCGCAGAGCAATGACACTCTGCCCACTATCACTGCCTTGGCCTTAATGATCGAGTCTTGCGGATGTAACGGCAATGGCGAGCTGGACGTTCGATACATCAAGGAAGCAGTGGCCATGGCCAAACGGATGAAGCTCTTTGGTTGCTCCGATGCGCTCACATCTGTAGACCTTGCCCACATGCCAGAAGCAGAGGCCCGAGCAACAGCTCAGGCTGCCTGGGGGGTCTTCAACGTTCTAAGGTGCGCATATAGTAGACCGCCTTTTGTTGCGGAGGAGATTGCCTGACAGACATACAGCATGACATCCCAGTTCTATCTACCGGCGACCACTGAATATCCACCGACTCTCCCGATTCCGGGCAGAGGCGGCCTTGCTGTCCCTGTGATCAAGGCTGAGCAGGCGCCAAGTATCAGACCAAGCAGCCAAGCTTCTTCATCGGGCTCGGAATCAGGGTCCCAATCACGTACCCCTTTGAAGAGAAGCCGATCATCGTCTTTGACATCATCTGTGTCGGAGATTTTTGCGGCTTTTTGCGAGTTGTGGGTAATATCGTCTCGCATAACATGGATGTATCAACGCGATGGCAGCCCTGGGTTTTCATCGCAGGCCTTCGCCCTGGAGAAGTACATAAACCTTCTGGCCTGGGCCGACAACTTGTCTGCGGGCATGGAACGTGGCGAGTATAGCCAGCCCCAAGTCCTTGTGTGCCAGTAAGTCCGTTCATAGTCCTGGTCGGTGAGTGTCGCGAAGCTCATGATGCACACAGCATGTGGTTTCACGGCACAATTCTTTACCTTCTGCGGCCGTTTATCCCGAGCGATCAGCAGCATGGCTTCAATTCATGGTCGCCGTCGGCCGACCAGATGCATGCCTTCTTCGCAGCTTCTGTCGAGCAACTGAAAGAGCTGATCGAGGTATACGCGTCCTATCCGCAGTCCAGGTTCAGCATCTTTGGCCACTCGGCGCTCGTCCACGTGGCTAACGCCGTGGCCAACGACACGAGCAACCCGGAGTGGCGGCCCTACTTTCTGAGCTGTATCCGCGGCTACCAGAGCCTCTACAGCTCGTTCACCGTTGCCGAGGTGATTGCGGGGGGTCTATTATCGATGGTGGTGAGGAAGGGTGCCATGGACATGGCGGAAGCCTTCGGCCTGCTGCAAGAGCTGAGGGCAAAGAAGAACCAGAAGCTCGTCCGCCGGGCGACGGGACTGTTTGTGACCGACCTCGATCTGGCTGTGACAGACCGCGAGGCGGCAAGGGTGGATCGGGTGATGGAGAAGTTTGAGGAGATGACGGTATTGGACGAGTTCACCCAAGGTATCGTCTGATGTGGCATAGACATGATCGTTTACTCGCCGGCTTGTGTCCGGTTTACGGAACTTCTTGGATGATTGGTTTTGCAAAGGATTCAGATCACAGTTTCGACGAGGTAGATACCCACATGGTAGCCGCGAGCGGCAAAGGTTATATCAGCCCCTCAAAGGACCACCCCCTTCCCCCCCCCCCCCCCCCCCCCCCCAGGCTCAACCATTGGTTTGGATGGGCCAAAGTGCATCTTCAGCCCTGCAGGCCCGCAGCTGGTCTAAGTCGTCGGCATATGGGTACAGGATCGACGAGAGGCAGCACGAGATTGGACGGCCAGGCCCAGCTCCGTGCTTGGGTTGATGGTGTCTGAAATTGCAAGATGTTGATTTCTGTTTTGCACTGACCTCGTCGTCACCCGCAAGACACTGCGCCAGGTCCTCTCTCTCTCTCTCTCTCTCTCTCCCATATTCCGTCTTTCACCCATCTTCACAACACGCCATCGAACTTTCACTCCCAAGCTGGGGAAACGCCGTATCCTCTGGTAGCTCAGCCTCCCCAAGGCGTTCAACGCAATCCGCAGGCCTCCCTGGGGGGCTACAAATAGTCCTGCATAAGCAGCCGTGCTTGTCGCTGGTATCCATTCCCTACCCGTCGTCCCGTCTACAAGCCTAATAGACTGGCTCGGGAAGCTCCATCCACAGTGACGCTAGCAGAACATAAGGTCAAGCGACGCACCCGCCACCGCATGCGGATTCCTATGATTTGAATGGCATTTCTCATCTCATGGCCATGATAGGCCAAGACCCGTCGGCTCCCTCCACTGCCTGACTAGCCCTCTCGCTCGTTCTTGATGCTAGGCGCGGATCGCCTTTCGCTCGGCCACACGGAGTCGCCAAGGCCCCTGCGCCAGCCCGTCTTGGTCCTCCCCGCAGACGCCGGGCTTGCGCTTTAGCAGCGGTTTGTTCCCAGATCCTGCTGAGACCGAGTGTGGCCGCTAGCAGAAGGGGTTATCCATCGCTGGTTTCGATGGCTCCGTCCACGCAACGATGTGTGCGTAGGCTTGGGGTGCAGGGCATCTCCCGAAATCTTGACGGTCCAGACCATCTTCCCCCTCGGGTGAGGCGAAGGCCTGGCCAACTAGTTCTTTGGTAGCACCCTAAATGCAGACGCTCGATCGTGTCTCGCATTCCGGTGACGCCACGGAGGGAAGCTCCTCAGCAACGTGCCCTTTGAGCGTAAGGCTGCACGTTTTCGTAGGTGAAATGACCATTGCCTCTTATTAAGTCGTACTATGCCCTCCCACTCCCTCTACATTCAAGCCTCGATTCCATTCCTGACAGAGCCGCATCCCTCGGCGCCAACCCCACGCAGACGAGCAGGAATCATGTCCTTCAAACGGTCGCCTCTCCTGAGCCTCGCTCTCGCACTTGCCCCGCTGGTCGTGGCTGATGACCGCCCCTACGTCGCCGACTCGGTGTGCAATTGCTACTTGACCAACTCGTCGGAACGATACTTCACCAACCACGTCTTCTTCGACTTTCGCAACCTTGGGCAGTATGCGGGGGTCCCTGACGCCCTCGCCGATTGGGGCGCGAGTGCCAATGCACCGGTGACATCCGACTACTTCAACTCGGACGCGTGGACGTCGGTATGGAGCATCCAGTCCTGGAACAACACAGAAGTCAAGGGCAAGAACGGCAACGACGCCACAGTCGACATGGTCAACTCGGCCAACAACATCTACATCGAGCGGAACAGTGACCGGGACGCGTCGTCGGATACCTTTATGAGCATGCGCACCGTGCGTACCCAGGGTTTCCAGTCGTCTGCCGAGATTGAGTCTATCTCGATGGGCTACCACTTCGCCTCCGTCCGGATGCTCGCCCGCACTATCGGCGCCCCGGGCGCCTGCACGGCGCTGTTCACCTACCGTGAGGCCGACGCCTACGCCAATGTCCAGGAGGCCGACATCGAGGTCCTGACCAAGGACCCCGAGAACCGCATCCAGTACACGAACCAGCCGTCCTTCACCGCCCAGGGCGACACCATTGACAAGTCGACACAGAACGGCACGATGCCCCGCGGCACCTCGTGGCGCGACTGGGCCGTCCACCGCATCGACTGGGATGAGAAGGACAGCACCTGGCTCGTCGACGGCTCGAAGGTGTCAAAAATCGCCTTCCAGGTGCCCCGCGATCCCAGCCGCATCATGCTCAACTCGTGGAGCGACGGCGGGTCATGGTCGGGAATCATGAACGTCAACGAATCGGCCGTCATGCAGATCCAGTGGATCGACATGGTCTTCAACACCACCGAAGAGTCCTCCTCCTCGTCGAAGCGCGACGTCGGCCTCCACCGGCACGGACATGGGCCCGTGGGCCGGCTCGAGCGCCGCGACGGCGACGGCAAGTGCCAGGTCGTGTGCAGTATCGACTCGTCCGACACCATCGGCCAGCCCGTGATGCTGCACAATGGGACGGCCCCCGGCCAGCTTCTTGGGCAGTCCAGCGCCATGGCTTTCTGGCTGCCTGTGGCGCTCATGTCTGCCACCTTCTTCCACCTCTGGGCGTAATCGGAAGACTTTTTCACATGTGATTACGGCGGGCGCATGGCAGAGAGGGGTGCCGGGGTTTTCAAATTTTAGCATATATCTGTAGCGTTTGTCCATTCATGAGAATTATGACGCGGAAAACAGTTTACTCAATCTTCATCCGTTCAACAAACTCCATACCTCGCTAGATTTTAGAGATGTCTAGGCCTGAGATGTCAAGTTCGTCAGACATTGTGAACCAAGGTAGGTATCTAGGTGGTCAGAGCTCGACAGCTGCAGCTCCAGCACCAACGTCCTGTACCTTTTACAGTGGATACAGGAGCCAGCCCCTGTCCGCGCCGCCATTCACAGGCCGAGAACCTCGGAGGCGATTGACCTATGATACGTTTGTAAGAAGCTCCAAGAGCCCCCCCCCCCCCCCCCCCCCCCCCCTTGCTTGCTGCAGCTCAACCTTCCGCCCCCAACAAACTTCCCGTCTCTACACGCACCTTGCATTTCCTCAAACAGACGAAAAAAGATTTTAGAGACCAACACCGCCATCGACGAGCCTCTTGTCGAACCTTTCTTTTCCAGCTCTCGATCCATCACCAGCCAGCAGCCAGGTGACATAACCCGGTCGACCAAGAACGAAACAAGCAAAGCGATAATGGCCGACACAGCAGCCGGCCCGACGCGGCCGCAGCGGCGCTCCTCGCCGCTCAAGAACGGCTACCTGATCCTCTACAACTTCGTCTCCGCCGTCGCCTGGGCCACCGTCCTCGGCCGCACCGTCGCCCTCTTCACCCTCCGCGGCCCGCACTTTGTGCACCTCGGCGTCGGCGACTGGACGCGCTGGACACAGACCATGGCCGCCATGGAGATCCTCCACGCGCTGCTCGGTGAGGACAACGCCCTCCTCCCTCCCTTCTCCAGTTTCTCTTTACGGGAATGGCCCAATGAAACGTACCACTAACCAGGCTCTCTCGCAGGCGTCGTCCGCGCCCCCGTCTTCACGACCGTCATGCAGGTCCTCAGCCGCTTCGTCCTCGTCTGGGGCGTCGTCTACCCCTTCCCCTCGCTCGCACGCAGCACCTGGTACTCGTCCATGCTGCTCGCCTGGAGCGTCACCGAGGTCATCCGCTACTCGTACTTCGCCCTCAACCTCAGCGGCTTCCAGCCCAAGCCCCTGACCTGGCTGCGCTACAACACCTTCTTTGTGCTGTACCCCATCGGCATCACCAGCGAGTGCGCGCTCATCTACTACGCCGCCGAGCCCGCCAAGCAGTTCGGCGAGGTGTTCCCCTACGTCTCGTACACCATCCTGGCCATTTACGTTCCTGGTAGGCTCGCTGTCCCTGCCCCCCTTTTCCGGCCAAGGGTGAGGATGCTAACGTGGGCAGGCTCGTACATTCTGTACACCTACATGATGAAGCAGAGGAGCAAGGTCATGCGCAACTTGAAGGCCGAGGAGGCGGGCCGCTCAAAAACTCAGTGAACCGTTCAAAGAGGAAAGGGAAGAGGAGCAGATCCAAAAAAAAGGGCCAGGTGGGTATTCCAGGGCTATACTAGGAACGGGTATGGATATAGACAAAAAGAAAAGAGAGAGAGAGAGAAATGTTTAATCTAGGGCGCATGACATCGTTTCTCAGTGGTGGCAACTGTTGATCCGTTACGGTTAGGGGGAGAATAGCGGAGAGTGAGTGTGAAAAAAGAAAGAGAGACATTTGTCGCCCCTCAAGCAGTAGCACTCTCGCCCGCCTCCTTGATCGCAGGCCTGTCCTCCTCACTCGTCTCGTACCACTCGTTCCGCGTCCACTGCGCAATCAGGTGCACCGCGTCCTGCTTGAGCTTGTCGTACCCCGGGTTCATCTTTGGTTCGAACATATCTGTCGCCCAGTTAGCCGCGCGAACCCCCCCCCCCTAACGCGTGGTCCCGCGCCCGCCCACTTACTCATATGGGCCTGCGTCTCCTCCGTGGCGGCATCGTTCACGGCGGCCTCCCACACCCCAGCGCCCCCCTTCTTGGGTAGGTTGCAGAAAGTCCGGTCTCTGCCCAGCACCGTTCCGACGACGCTCACCTCCTTGGACCCGGCGGCCTTGCCCAGCCGCGTGTACAGGTTTGCGAAGCCGATGTCGAGCTCCCGGTTGAGCCGCACCATGTATTGCACCCGCTTCTGCAGCTCGGCGCCCTTGGCCAGGCACCCGACAAACTCGAGGTGCGACGTCGCCCATGACAGGCCCTGGGTGATCTGCTCGCGGTTGTAGTACGCCGCGCCCGCGCTCGCCGCCACGGCGGCCGCGCTGCCGGCCACCATGGCGATCTTGCCCCACTTCCCCCACGCGCTCTGCTGCTGCTGGGATGCGTCGTTTGTAGGCGGTGCGGGCAGCGCGGCGACGGGAGTCTTGTCGCGGGCGGGCGCGGCGGCCTGCTTGGCGCCCCAGAGGGCCGTCCCCAGCCCGCTGAGCTGCGTCATGGCGGCGTTGGCGGCGTTGTAGTGGCTTTCGGCGCCGTGGGCGACGACGCCGGGTGAAATGCCGAGGTAGGGCGTGTCGAAGGCGATGACGCCCTGGACATATGGGAACATGAGGGTGTTGAAGGCGGGCATCGACGGGTCGTCGGCGTCCTTCTTCTCGACCCCGTCTTCCGAGTAGATGGGCTTGTCCGAGGTGAGCCCGATGACGGTCTCGGCGGCGACGATGCCGCCCATGGAGTGGCCGGCCAGCACTATGCGCACCGAGGGGTCGACAGTGGGCGAGGGCGTGCGGTTGGCGACCTCGAGGTCGATGACTTTTTCCAGGAGCCTGTGGGCGAAGCGTCAGCTGTCCGAGTAAGAGGCGGCTCAGCCGGATGCGCGCGCGACTGGGGGGGGGGCACGGAGTGGTCTTTACCAGTCGCGGAACCGGCTCACGCAATCTCCCAAGTCGCCACGCGTCTCGTACTTGGGATACACCATGACATTGACATTGATCTTGGGCAGCGCGGCGGCAAGGTCTGCGCGGAGCTGCTCCGTGAAGCCGTCCTTGTCGCCGAAGGTGTCGTCACCCCCCTGTTCGAGAAAGTCAGAGACAATGAGCGCAGCAGACCATCAGATGTACAAAAAAATGACATACCTTGAACCCGTGGATGAAAACCAAGAGTAACGTCTTCTTCATCGTGCACCTGCGTGTTAGTTGGGTGTGAGACGAGAACGTTGCGGGTGGGGTGGGGGGGACATGGCCTAGTGTAGGTAGCTTGGAGCTCAACGTCTATCCCTTAGTGCTGTTTACGGCGTGGTGCCCCCCAGCCTTGCCACCCATGTGACTGACTGTCTCACTTGGATCTCTGAAAAGCAGCAAAACCCACCCAACTTTGTAACCCCCAAGGGACTTGACGACGTCGGACGTCGTATTCCCTCAGTATATGACGCCTACGATACAACCAACCCCCATTCATGCCTCGTTCTCGTCATGTGGTCTTCGCTGTCATCGTATCGGTAGGTTTCGATTTTGATACGTGATCAGACCGAACCACACAGATTCAACCGCTTCATCCCGGCCAGGCTTTCACTCACTCACCGTCCAGTCAATGAAAGCGGCGATCGCAGTAGGGTCACCATGCCTCTCGGTAAAAAATAAAATAAAAAGGCTTCGAGGTCCCAGCTCCAGTTCGCCCAAAAGACTCGTTTGGGTCACGAAACAATCATGAGGGACTTATAAAAGTACAGCGTTTTATTGAATGACAGCTGTCTGGTTTTACAGTTTTATAAAAGACCAAGTTCGTACGTACCCGGATTATCTTGGGCGAATCAATAAGTAGCCGTAAGTCTCTGCACAAGATACGTCCCGCTATTAATACCCTCGTACTTCTTTTCCGCTTCAGTGGCGTATGTGCCGGGGATGGCCTCAATATGGCTCTTGAAGTTGGGGTTGCAGAAGTAGCTGTTCGACGTTAGTGTGTCTCCTACTACGTGAACAGGTGGGGGAAGAAAAGAACTCACGCAATGCTGTACCGCGGAGGGTACTTGGTGCCGTCCTCTGGCTTCCTCGGAGGCTCTACAACTCGGTGAATAGTGCTCTTGATGGTGTCGTTGCTCCATCTTGCCAGCAAGTCACCCGCGTTGACGACAACCGTCCCGGGGATTGGCGTGGCGTCGACGAACTGTCCATTGGGGCTCTTAACCTGCAGTCCACCGCGATCATCCTGGAACAGGAGTGTGATGGAGCCGTAGTCGCTGTGCTCACCGGCGCGGACCTGGCCGGGGTTGACCTTGAAGATGTTAGGGTCGACGGAGGGGTAATGCAGGAGACGCAGCGTGTTGTCGCCGGCGTCTGTGAAAGTGTCGAAGAAGTGCTCGTCGAGGCCCATGCCGACGGCGATGGCGCGCATCACCTCGACGTGCAACTCCTTGCACCGGTTGTGAAACTCCAGCATCTGCGACTTGAACCCGGCGACGCGCGTGCCCTCCTTCTCGGTGGGCCACTGGTTCGGGTGATCGGGCTCGCCCTCGCGGCCGATCTCGTAGCTCTCCTTCAGGTCCGGGTTCCCCGCACGCACCTTTTCGATCTCGGCGTTGGTCTTGAGGTTGCTGACCTTCTCGCGGCCGGGCGCCGAGTATCCGCGGTTCGCCTCGGGGGTGGTCCAGCCCAGGGCGAGCTTTGCCTCGTCATCCTGGGCGAAGAAATCGGCCGATTTGGCGAAGGTGGCGGCGCGGAGTTCGTCGCTGATGGGCACGTTCTGGAGGTAGATGAAGCCGGCGTTCTGGAAGCCGTTGAGGATCTGCTTGGCCGTCGCGGTGCGGGTGTCGTCGTCACCGTTCAGGAAGTCGGAGAAGTTGATGAGCTGGGGGTGGTGGGTGAGAAGCGGCACGTGAGGTATTGCAGATGTGTGTCACTCACGGGGATGAAGAGACCCTCCTTGTCTACTGCTGTGGCCGCCATGGTGGTTTCAATATGGGTTCTCTTGGGACTGAAAACGTTGTGGGGATTCTAGGTCAAACGTGTCAAATGAACATCACTCGGATCAGGTGCGAGGGCATCAATAAAGAGTCGTGATAAGTAAGGTTCATGACTAGCCCTGTGTGCGATGGGAACCGAGGATTTTATGCTTGACTAGTTCTTCAGTATCACCTGCGACCACAGCGCGTCGGCCAACCACAGGCCGAGCATGAACTTCGTATCATACCAGCCAACCATGGGCGTCATCTAAGTGATCCGGCCCGGCCCAATACTCCCTTGCTATCCCGGCCATTCGGACGATAAAGGGTCAGATACACCCTTGAAGGTTCGGGAGGGGGTGGGCAACAAGGCCGGCTAGGCCCGTAGTCGAACGAGAGGAGAGGCCGGAGACCTCCTACACGTTATACATACCCGTAAGACGAAAGAAAAGGCGGCGTTATTACCCCGCGGAAAACGGGAGGGGAAGAGGCCATGATAAGAGTTCAGCGATTAGAGACAAAAAGTTGAGATAACGGCGGGGTAAAGATATGTAGTCGGAAATAGAGGACAGGGCTGCAGCCAATGCGGTGCAGTGGGAGACGGCCCCGTGTGTGGGGTTCTGAAGAGGAACATACCTATTATGGGCGATGTGAGGGGAATATAATACCTGGTACGGCAGGCAAGGTATGTTGTACCTACGAAACGTGCGGGAGGGGAGGGGTCGAGGCGACCTCGTCACCTTCCTGGATAGACGTAGCACGTCGCGTAACTGGTACCTGGACACGAGGAGGACGAAAGGCCGGTTTCTGTTGCCCTACGCTACCTCCTGGATCATGCAGTGGTAAACAACCTGCACGACTCGCCATTGAGCCTCAATCCCTTTTGTGCATATATAGCGTCGTTGTTGAAACAAACTCTCACAAAACAACTAGCACACATCCTGGTGGCTTTGGCATCACCAAAACACGGACGAAAGACAAAATGGCCTCATCGACGACGCCCATGAAAGTGGTGGACATCCACACCCACATGTACCCTCCGTCATACATCAAGATTCTCGAATCTCGAACCACCATTCCTGTCGTGCGCAGCTTCCCGCAAACACCGGACCCGCGACTCATCCTCCTCGCCTCGGAGCAGCAAGCCCTCGATGAAGCCACCAAGGACCCCTCGGCGAAGCCTCCCGGCCGGCCGCTGACTTCGCATTATGCCTCCCTCGACCAGAAGGTGCACTTCATGGACACGCACAAGATCGACATCTCGGTCGTCTCCCTGGCGAACCCCTGGCTCGACTTCATCGACGGCTCCGAATCCGGCACCATGGCCAAGGGCGTCAACGACGAGTTTGATGCCATGTGCGCCACCCAACCGGGCCGTCTCTTCTTCTTCGCCACTCTGCCCTTGACTGCGCCGCTCGAGACTATTCTCGCCGCCATCAACCACGTCAAGGACCTCAAGTACTGTCGCGGCATCATCCTCGGCACGTCGGGACTGGGCAAGGGCCTCGACGACCCGAACCTGCTGCCCATCTTCAAGGCCGTAGCCGCTGCTCACCTGACCATCTTCCTGCACCCGCATTACGGGTTGCCCAACGACGTCTGGGGTCCCAGAGCGAGCAATGAGTACGGCCACGTGCTACCTCTAGCCTTGGGTTTCCCAATGGAGACCACCATCGCCGTTGCGCGCATGTACTTGGCCGGCGTCTTCGACGCAGTGCCCCAACTGCGTATGCTCCTGGCGCACAGTGGTGGTACGCTGCCCTTCCTCGCCGGACGCATCGAGAGCTGCATCATGCACGACGGGCAGTGGGTGCGCGAGGGTAAGGTCACCGAGGGACGCAGGACGGTATGGGACGTGCTCAAGGAGCAGATCTACCTCGACGCTGTCATCTACTCTGAAGTCGGTTTGAAAGCGGCTATCGAGGCGAGTGGAGCGGACAGACTCATGTTCGGCACAGACCACCCCTTCTTCCCGCCGCTGACTACCGACGAGCAGGGTGAGTGGGAGAGCGTGAGCATGAACGCCGATGCTGTGGCTGCGGCGGTGGGTGAGGGGAGTGACCAGGCGAAGGCCATCATGGGCGGCAACGCGATCAACATTTTGAATTTGAAGGTGGATTGAACAACCAAGTATGGCAAAATATGAAATTGAAATCAGTCATGGATGAATCTCGTTGCAATGAGAAGGCTCAGAAGCTCACATGAAAATACGCAGTAATACTGAGTGAAGTGAGCAACCCTGACCGCTTTCCATTTTAAGATGGAAATGGTGGACCTCGATGATACCGCCTACCCCTTCCACGTCCCACGCCACGTTTCTGCCGGCAGTAGCGGAAAATATGGCTGCTGGCCCCGCGATGTACCTTCATCACCCGTCTCAACCAACACGACCAATTTTATCAGTTTACTTGGCATACAACTATTTTAAATAAAGTGAAACCCGTAAAGGAATCCATATAACCTCACTCTATCACACAATGACCGCTGAGGTCCGCCGCTCCAATGGCACGCGCCTTGATGCGTCCCTCGGTATCACTGAGCGCATCGCACCGAGCATGACAGCTTGGACTGGAGATATGCGCAAGAGGTAAGCCACCCCTGGCATTGATTCCGTTGGATAACCGCATTGATATAATCTCTCAGATATACCGACTTTCAAGTCTACGAGATCAACAAAGATGGCTCCGTGCTTCATCTCAAAGAGACTCGTCTCCCCCCGCCCCCTAAGGAGCCCGCCCCTCCTGCCCCTCCTGTAGTCGAGGAGAAGAAGGAAAAGGAACAAGTCAAGACGGAAGACGTGGCACAAACCGAAGATGATGCCACCGCCGCCGCCGCCGCCGAGAAGCCTGCCGTGCCCGAGATCCCAGCCGAAGATTGGGCCGTAATCGCCTCCCTCACAAACGAAGATTTCGCGAACCAACTGCTGGCCATGTACCAGGCAGTATCCGTCGACAAGAACGCCAAGACCGAGCCTGCGACCTCCCCCGTTACAGACGACAAGGACAAGCGCTCTCAACTCCACCAGAGCGTCCGCCGCATCTTCAACTCGACAATCGATACGACTACCGACCCGACGGGCGCCATCGTTGCCCGGGTCGTCCCCCCTCGCGGCAAAGGGAAGGGCATGCGTGGCGGTCGCGAAAACAACAACAACAACAACAACAAACAGAAGAAGCCCAAGGCGCACGCCCCCGGTCAAGGAGAGTACCTCCACTTCACGCTGTACAAGGAGAACCGCGACACCATGGACGCTCTGCACCAGATCTCTAAGGCCCTGCGCATCAAGCCCCAGGCCATTGGCACCGCGGGTACCAAGGACCGCCGGGCAGCCACCACCCAGCGGTGCTCCATCCGCGGCCAGCGCGCCGACGCTCTCGTCCGCGCGCGCCTGAACGGCGTCACTGTCGGCGACTACCTCTACGCGCCGACCCCGATCCACCTCGGCGCCCACGCCGGCAACGAGTTCGTCATCGCTCTCAAGGACTGCCTCGTCGCCGGCGCCCCCGACTTGTCCCCCGCGGACCGCCACGCCCGGATCCACGCCTCGGTCGAGGCCGCCATGGCGAGCATGCACAGCCTCGGCTGGATCAACTACTTTGGCCACCAGCGCTTCGGCACGCATGCCGTCGGAACGCACGAGGTCGGCCGCCTGATCCTGCAGGAGGACTTTGAGGGCGCCGTCAATGCTATCCTCGCCTACGACGAGGTCATCGCTAAGCGCGCCGCTGGGGGCGAGGTCCCCGAGCAGGCGCACGCGCGAGACGACTTCAGCCGCCACCGCGCGTGCATGCTCTTCCGGGAGGGCGGGTCCGCGGACGACGCCCTCCAGTATCTACCGCGTCGCTTCTCCGCCGAGTCGAGCCTTATCCGCCACCTCGGCAGGTCGAGCGGTCCCTCCCGCCGGGACTTCATCGGGGCCTTGACGAGCATCACCCGCGGCCTGCGCAGCATGTACCTGCATGCCTACCAGTCCTACGTCTGGAATCACGCCGCGAGCCACCGCTGGCGGCTGTACGGCGAGAAGGTCGTCGAGGGCGACCTCGTCCTTGTCGACGAGCCAAAGCCGAAGACGGACAACGCCGAGGCGGGTCACGATGACAACGACGACGCCGAGTTCACCGACGCCCGCCCCCTGACCGCCGAGGAGGCTGCCTCGGGCAAGTACACGATCCACGACGTCGTCCTCCCCTCGCCCGGCCACGCCGTCGTCTACCCTGCCAACGCCGTCGGCGAGTTCTACGCGGCCTTCATGCGTGACAACGGCGGCCTCGACCCGGCCAATATGATCCGCCGCCACCGCGAGTTCAGCCTCCGCGGCGACTACCGCAAGTTCGTTGTGCGCTTCCTCGCCGAGCCCGGGTTCGAGGTCCGCGCGTATGAGGACGACAACGAGCAGATGCACCCCACCGACATGGACCGTATCCGCGCCGCGAAGAGCGGCGGCGCGGGGCGGAAGCGTGGGCGCGAGGAGGGTGAGGCGGCGGACGGCGAGGGCAAGAAGGCCAAGACCGAGGCGGCGCCGGTGACGGAGACGGAGGGGGCCAACGGCGACGAGGTGATGGAGGAGGAGCTGCCGGCCGCGGAGGAGACGAAGCCCAAGGAGGCAGCAGCGGAGGCGGAGAAAGGGGCTGCGGCTGCCGACTCGAAACCGGCCGCTGGGCTTACCAAGACGGCCGTCGTGGTGAGGTTCCAGCTCCCCAAGAGCGCCTACGCGACCGTCGCGCTGCGGGAGTTGATGGGCGTCGACGAGTCCGAGGTCGCCGCTGGATCCGCTGCCACCGAGGGTGCCGAAGCCACGAAGCCTTCCGATGCCGAACCGGTGGCAGCGGAGGCATGATTGGGCCTTGCTGTTTTTCCTCTTTCTTTTCTTCTTTCTTCCAAGGTTTCACAAAGGGAGCAAGTAAGGAAGCGACCCTTGGCGGACGTTTATGAGATCTACTTGGCATGTAAATGGTGTAGACTAGATACCCCTCCCCCTCTGTTCAGAGAGCACCGCCGATAAAGAAAATATGTACAATGCCTCTCTCCCTGAAACCCAGTACCCGAAGAAAACCCATGAATATGGCAGGACTTTTTTTTCGTTTTGAAATTGCTGCAAACCTCAACAGGCAATGGCTCGAACCACGAGTTATGCCAGCAATCTGTTCGACTCGTATCCACCGTCACTCGCTTGCCCCATCACAGGTCTGCTGCTGCTGGCTGGCTACCTGTTTCCAGAAAGAGAATCCAATCACCTCCCCCAAAGGGTGACGTTGGCAATACCGCGCCCAGTGTGCCTATCGTCTTAATTCGTAAAACATTGCCTTGCTGCGCTTGGTCGCTTTGCTGCTGGCCTAGGCTAAACATTGCTCTTTCTTCGAGCTGTCGGGCTTTTACGCTTTCACTCTAAAGATGCCATCGCTTTTATGGCGGTTGGTTCCTCGACAAGGAAAGGACGCAATGCGCTTCTTCTCCCTTTGTATGTCCGATCATACACCAAACTGGTGCTGTGCGATACAATTTCATGATCGGATGCCGCGCAATGGCATTGTCGCAATCTGGCTTCCGTTACTTGGTGTCCCAGCCCCAAACCTGGGCCAGATATTTCGCCATGTTGACACGCTTCGACCGCATCTCGACCATCCAAGGATGCTCGAGCATTCTCCAAGGGCTTGCTCTTCGAGTGGGCTCCTTCTCGAGGCTTCAAGTTTGTCAGTAAAAGCCTCCACATACCTTGCAAAGACAACTACTCACCAGCACTCGATAAAATATTTAAAGTTATCACTCCAGAAGATGTTGGCGTCAGGCTCATCCTTGAGCTTCGGTATCGGTTGCCGCACAATGTAGGTGAGGAGATCGATAAGCCCAGCCCGTGGTTGCATTTCAGTGCCATCGGCAGGGAAGGGAAAGCGATGTTGCGCTACCTCCAGCAGAGTGACGCCCGTGGACCAGACGTCGGAAGTGATGGTGTAGGATTGACCGGTAATGCGCTCAGGGGCCATGTAGTAGCTGGTGCCGATAAAGGTGTTTGCTTCTCCCTTGGTGCCAAAGTCTCCGGAAACACCAAAGTCACAAAGTTTCACGTCTCCATTCCTGCAAAGCAGAATGTTGGACGGCTTGATGTCTCGATGAATGATGCGCATGCCGTGCAGGTACGTCAATCCGCGAAGAACGCCCTCAGAGATCTTGCCGAGTACCTTCTCGCCCGTACGGCCGCCAAGCTTCTTGACCTCTTTGTAGATGCTGTCCAGGGAACCCCCCTCGCAAAATTCCATCGCGATGGAGATAGTGCCCGTCGTCGAGTCCTCAAAGGCGCCATAGTAACGGCAGATGTGTTCCGAGGCACACTCCTTGTTGAATCCTAGTTCACGCACAATCTGCTTCTTGACGTCGGGATCGGGGTTTGTGGTGATGACCTGGTTTTGTTAGTCTTGGTTATGAACGGTGTAAGTGAGCGATAAGCACCTTTAGGGCAAAGGTGGTCTTTCCACCCTTCAACTTGGCCTTGGTGACGGCTCCACCGGCACCTTCGCCGAGGCTGCCGAGCTCTTCGATCCGGTTTTCCATGCTCGCAACCCTCCACCCGTCAGAGTCAAGCTCCTCCACATCCAGGGTTCTGCCCCGCTCCAATGACAGCTTATCGAAAGCCTCAAGCCCTTGCATGCTGTTGTCTCGCTCCATGCCAACTCCGCCTTCGCTACGCTCAGAGTAAATAGAGCCGACAGCGGACGATGGATCTGGGGTTCCCTGGGGCCTCGCTGGGAAGCCATATTGGGAAGCAAACGACAACGCCGAATATTGAGAGCCAGCTGATGTGGGGTTGCTAGCTCGCCCGTCCAGAGGACCAAAGCTTCCTGATCTCGAATGAGCCGCGCTGCTTTCGCTGCCACCGCTTGCCGACTGTCCCACGCCTATCTGTCTTGGGGGTTGCTCGTAGGGTGTTGTTTGGCTGCCCATCGGAGTGGCCAGGTGCAGGGTTGGGAGGGGAGGTCGCGAGTTTACGGGCTGGGGCGGCTGTCCGCCGACCGGCTTCGCATTTGGTGAAGGAGGAATCGCAAGACCGAGTCTGGGTGTTCGGGCGGCGCCGCCGGATCTGCCACCAGGAATGGCAGGACGGAGCAGGGGTGCTGGGGAGTTCATCATGGGAACAGAACTCGGCGTAGACATGGCAGTGGAAGGGACGCTCGGCGGCGGCTGTAGGAGAAAGGCGTTAGTGAAGCTCACGATGACGGGTAATGCGAAGATGCATCATACAGGCATGCTTACCTGCTGAGGAGGCTCCATCATCTGAGGCTGGGAAGCGTTATGGTCGGCCATGACAGTAAGTTGGCCGGACCAAAGCGATGCAGTTCAAGCTGGAGAGAGTGGGATGAAGAAGAGGATCCCACAAGGTCGCAAAAGGGCCGAAGCCAAGCTGCCCAACGACGTAGGTCGAGATGCGATGGCTGCTGCACAGAGCACGGGCGGAAAACGGCAAAGAACTAGCGCGATAGGAGATTCGTTCTGTGCGAGGTATGTGCTGACGTAGTGAATTGGAGAAGGACGACGGGATGGGTTTCGAAAGTTCGGCGTTTATGGTTCAGAGTAAAAGTACGTTGGAACGGTTGAGATGGGACGTCGAAGCGTTTCCTTGGACAGATCAAAACGGGCGAAAGCGAGAGATAGAAGAGGAAAAGGTCGTTGAAGTGCAGCTTTCCCCGCAGGAGTCAGGAGGTCGCTATCGGGGTTGGTGGGCGGTTTTGGGTGGGATGTGACGTTCCGAGCGAGCGAGCGAGGTGGTTGTGGCACGCGTTCCCGGTCGAGCAGTTCTTGATCTGTGTCAGGGCCGGGTGTGGATGGGTGGGTGCAAGGGAGGGGGGGGTTCTCTACTGCTTTGCTTGATGTCTCTTCTGTCTCGTAGTGTGTTCGGTACGGTATCGAAGTTGGCCAGGCCAAAGAGGGGACCAGCAACACGAGTTCAGAGTTAGTGGCAACCGGCGAGCCCAAAGGACCAGGTTCCTTTTTGAGAGGGAGGAGGTGCTCAGGTAGGATACGAGTGGGCAAAAAAGGCGGGGAGTCGGCGGGACGGGGGACGAGCTTGGGCGCTAATTCCAAGGCCAAGTTCCAATGGAAAACAGGGGCCTGGTTGATGCACTAAGGCACCTACCCACCTACCGACCTACCTACCTACCTACCTAATTGTACCTCAGACGTGCGTCGGGCCAAGGTACCTCTTCCAGCTGTCGCAGGATGTGGCAGGAGTAGGCGGGGAGGAAGGGTACATCCAGCAGCCAACCTCATTGCCTGGGTATCCCTCATTCGCCCGTACCTTTCGCAACCTCGAAAGAGAAAAAAAAAACACCTTTATCTACTACATACCTAGGTACTATCGCTATGCTTCACTTCACCCTTGACAAACTGGACAAGCAAATAACCGAAAAGTCAATGGAGATCAATCGCCGACGGGACCAAGAAATACGCTCGGTCGTCTCTTTACCTTTCAGAAGCTTGTCCTTTTTGGCAGGAAAACGTGCCACATCACCCAGTCCCTTACGTCGTCTGAGGTTTGTTATGGTTGGCCTTCCGATTTTGGTATTTCCAAGCACACGACCAACCGACCCCTGGCCAGGACTCCGAACTCACTCTAGCCTGGACTGAATCCCAACGAGGATGAGAAGGGAGGGAGGTGAGCGAGAGGGGAGCTGCGAAGGGATATGTCAGAGTCGATCAACATTATCGCCAGATGCCGTTATGTGTACAATGTACAAAATACGCATATGATGGGGTGGGGGTGGATTGGCACAACTTCTTCTTGTGAGGAGAAGACACAATGCCCAGTGATGGAGACGTACGAAAACGAGGCAACGAGGTATATGCTGCCGTTCCGCTTCGGCCGAGTCGGGGGCTGTCATGGATGAGGACGCGTGTTCTCCCCAAGACAAACTGCCTCACCACCACAAGCGGTACACATACTGACACTGACGCCGACGTCGACACTGACACTGACACAGGCAAACCCACCCCATCCCTCAACATTGAAAAAGTCAGTTTCTCAGGCACAACAGTGCGATGAGTGAGCTCCGTTTCGGACGAAGCACACCAACAACTCTGCCAGTCCCTCACCGGCACATACACACACATCATACAATGGTGCCATGCTGGACCAATCACATGCAGCCGGCAGGAGAACGAGACGTGAGAGGGCATCCAGAGACATGGGAGCATGGGGCACGAGCAGGGGTCCCGTTACCGTCAGTGGTGGTGTGTCGTCTGTGTCTTGGGCTGCCATTCGATGCCCTGCCCTGCAAATGCTGCTTGCAAAGCCGCTGGCCTCCTGTCCTGTTAGGGCCAAGCATCAAGCATCGCTCCCTGGTCTCTCAATGCACATACATCCTGGGAGACGTTCCCGATGCAACTTGGCTCCTTCGATCCAAGGGCTTCGGATGGACGAAGACAAGGCTATTGGCATTGGAATGAAAGGAGTGCACGTTTGATAACCGAAAATTCTGTCAGACGTTAAGTACGGCTGGTGCCATTCTCCACCGTATTGGTTGTCGCTACTGCTGATCGTCTTCCTCGCCCGATCCTTGACAATTTACTCGTTCCGGCCGTGAGCCAACAGCTGGCGCCGACAGCGAGCCGGCAATCACATCACACTCGTCACATTTGCTCACACACACATGGCTGCGAGATCACATAATAACTTAATGTGGACTGGTGGCAACCAATGCCTACCTGTCCAGTTCCCACCATGTCCCGAGAGAGGCGTGTCAGAGTCTAGGCTGGACAATAGGGCTTTCCCGGAGGCGGCACCCCCATGAGGACAGGCCGACCAAGCAGAGAGAGAAAGGGAAAACGGGGCGTCCCACGGAGGAGCTCTTTTCGGTAGATGGATGTTGTTGGAGGTGGCTCCGTCCACAATGCATCTACTACTCCGTACAGTAGGTACCGACGATATCGGTATGACAAGCCACTTGGAACAAGCCCCATCAGCTGATTGCGGAGACGCCGGTTGCGAGGATGGTGGTTGCAGTCCCTCCAGCCCTTCTTCTCTTCCGTCGGCCATGCGGCACGAACAGGCTAGCCCCCGAGACGACGGGTGGACGAGGCTAGCGGGCTTCTTGGGGTCCAAACCCGCACGCAGATTGCCTTCTTCTTCTTTTACTCTCTTCCTTTCCCTCTTCAATGTGCTGATGCAAGCTGCTGTAACTCTGTTTTGTCCGAGGGCGACGCATTCATCCTTCACCGCATTGTTCGCACAGCTACATCGGACATGGGCTGGACCCTGATCGGACGAAGGCCCGATTTTTCGTGGCCCCTGGCCCAAAACGCCTACGTGGGGTGCACCGTTATTGTGTCTGTCTTGTCCGGTCGGATAAATGCCAATGGCCGGTTCGCCCTGCTTGGAATGAGACAAGACGAGGAACAGAAACCGAGAGGCAGGGGCGGGCCTTACGGCGTTGCTTCTGCTGAGACTGCTGCAGCCCTTCTTCGTCTTGTCGAGCCCGAGTCGTCGGGTCTCGTCTGCAAAGTCGACTCATGCCAGCATGTCAGACGGAAGATGCAAGGAAACAAAACTGATCCTTTGACCCATCTGTGTTAACCCGGCCAATACCCCGTGCGGGCGTACTGTTAGCTGGACGCCCGTGAGCGTCAACGACCGGCATTCGCAATGCCTCTTCGCTTCGAACCCCCCCTCCATTATCATCACAGGCCAACACAAGGTCACGGAAACACCCAGTTTGCCTTACATTCAAACTGATATACACTACAATGTCGAGCAGCCCCCAAAACCAAGATGCGCTTGCCACGTCTGTGGCTAATGCAATCCAGGCGTACTATGTAAGCGCGCACACGTCAGGGGACAGGCACCCGGAATATGCCAAGGGCATAGGGCGGAATTGCATTCAGGCTGGCCCCATGCTTGGGTGCGGGAAGCAACGCTATGCTGTCATCAACCGTCAGCCCTGGCATTTTTTTTATTCCAAATATTCCTCTACCTGTAATGTTCAGCTCCAAGCAAGCCCGCGCTGTCTTAGCATTTCCCACCGTAACCAGACCGGGTCGAGATGCTTATCTCGGCAAGTTGAACCACAACTACCGCCCCCCCCGCCCCCCTTTGAACTAATACACAGTGGTGCGACATTGGAGCCAAGGCATTGCCATAACAAACAGCCAACGGAAAACATATGGGAGCGAGTTTGGGCCATGTACCACCACCTCGCCCCAGAAAGAACAATGGAACAGAACAGTTTTGCCTTCCAGCAGCAGCTTCAGTCTGACCGGCTCGCTCCCCGTCGACTAATCGCCATATAGGTACTACGAATACAAGTGCTGCCGCTACTACTACCACCACGTCATGTACAGGTACACTACCGGTACCTACACTAATTCCTGACCAGCTTCGTTTCCCCAAGCGCGCGTCTACCTCTTCATTTCATGCGGGATCCTTGGTACTTGAGCACCTCCAATCCAATTGGATTGCTACCTACCCCCCACCCACCCCGCCAGAGACCCCTGCACCACCCCCCTCCCCCCCGCATGCGCGCCCAATCCTGGCCGCCGACAAACATTCTCAATCCACCGGAGCTTTTTCTTTTTTTTTTTCTGCATCCCAAATTTTTTGAAGGACCCCTGACCGAAAATTCTCATACGCTGGTGCAGCTGGTGTCCGCCCGCTCACCATCAAATTTGAACCGAAAAGGCCTGTTACTTTCTGTCTCGGGTGCCTTGTTCGACTGCACTCCCAAGGGACACGCACACCTCGCCTTGTGATTGATCACCCTCGATGCCGTCCTCCGCAGCTCCCAGACGCCCGGGTCCCGCCGCCGCTTCCGACGAGGACCCGGCATCGTCGTCCTCCGCCAACTCTTCCGGCTCCGAGTCCGAATCCGACTATCTCGACAGTCCCGCTTCGCGCAAGCGACGGAGGACCGAGCCCCCTGCCAATCCAGACCTCGAGGGCCTCGATGATGATGACGACGACGACGACGACGACGACGACGATGATGAGGGGGGGCTCAAGGCCGTCGTCTCAACCATCAAGGCCCCGTCAAGAATCAAGCGCGCCGCCGCCGAAAAAAGCACCACAGAATACCCGTCCCGCGGCGTCGCAGAACACATCTCCGCGCCGACAGATCCCAATACCACCTTCTCCGCCATCAACGTACGGCCATGGCTCGTGCAGTCGCTGGCCAACATGGCCATCAAGCGACCAACAGGCATCCAGAAGGGCTGCATACCCGAGATCCTGAAGGGGAGGGATTGCATCGGCGGCAGCCGGACGGGTTCCGGTAAAACGGTCGCCTTCGCCGTGCCTATCCTCCAAAAATGGGCCGAGGACCCGACCGCCATCTTTGCCCTTGTTCTGACGCCCACCCGCGAGCTCGCCCTGCAAATCTTTGAACAGTTCAAGGCCATCTCCTCGCCGCAAAGCCTCAAGGCCATCCTCGTCACTGGTGGCTCCGACATGCGCCCGCAGGCCATCGCCCTTGCGCAGCGCCCCCATGTCGTCATTGCCACGCCCGGTCGTCTCGCCGACCACATCCGCACCTCGGGCGAGGACACCATCTGCGGGCTGCGGCGCGTAAAGTACGTCGTGCTCGACGAGGCCGACCGCCTCCTCGACGCCACGGGGCCCGGCAGCATGATCCCCGACGTCGAAGAGTGCCTCTCCGTGCTGCCGCCCTCGTCGCAGCGGCAGACGCTCCTGTTCACCGCCACAATCACCCCCGAGGTCCGCGCCCTCAAAGACATGCCGCTCAAACCCGGCAAGCAGCCCGTCTTCGTCTGCGAGGTCGACACCCAGTCCCTCGCCATCCCCGCCACCCTCTCGCAGATGCACCTCCAGGTCCCCGTCACTCACCGCGAGCACTATCTCCACACCTTCCTCCTTACCGACGGCAACGTCGAAAAGTCCGTCATCATCTTCTGTAACCGCACCTCGACGGCCGACTACCTCCACCACCTGCTCCGCCTGCTCGACCACCGCGTCACCTCGCTGCACTCGGGCCTGCCGCAGCGCCAGCGAGTGGACAATCTGGGCCGCTTCCGCGCCGCCGCCGCGCGGATCCTCGTCGCCACCGATGTCGCGTCGCGTGGTCTCGACATCCCCGAGGTCGCGCTCGTCATCAACTACGACATCCCGCGCAACCCGGACGACTACATTCACAGGGTCGGTCGCACGGCCCGTGCGGGACGCAAGGGAGAGGCCGTGACGTTTGTGGGCCAGAGGGACGTCGAGCTGGTGCTAGCGATCGAGGCCCGCGTGGGACGGCAGATGGAGGCGTGGCAGGAGGAGGGCGTCAACCTCGAGACACGCGTGCTGCGCGACTCGCTCAAGGTTGTGAGCGAGAAGAAGAGGGAGGCGCTGTTGGAGCTCGAGGAGGGGAGGGAGGTTGGCGGCAAGAGGAAGAGAACTAAGCAGAAGCTCAACACTTGACCGGGGGGTTTGCACAGCGTTGCTACGAATGTGTTGTGGAGGAAACTTGATCCCGGCGCAGTCATGGCTTGATCGGTTTCGATGCGATAGACAAAAAAAGTAATACCCAATAGACAAAATGTCCGAAGTGCGTTGTCGTCACAGAGCATCTCGAAACCACAACAGGGATAAGGCATATATAAACAACCCCCCTGAATCCGACTGCCCTGCGTCTTCGGGACTGGGCTGGAAACAAGCGCTCCCAAAAAGCAACAGCTTGACGACGAGAGGGGGGGGGGGGGGGGTTGCCTGGAGAATGGGGGATCCCTCCTCCCCCCCACCCCGGGTCGAGCCCCGCAGCTTGCCAGACAGAAGAAGATGGATACTCGGATATCGAGAGAGGGCCTTTGCCGTTGGGACATAGAACACGCCATTACGACAGCAGAGACTGGTCGCGATAGGAATCGCCCCTTCATCTCGCGCAGTTTCCTTTCTTTGATCGAGGCGCGGGGTCGCCAAGCCATGGTCGAGGGCACCTTGGCGCGAGGGTTTGTGAGTGCGTCAGGTCTCGACCGCACACTTTCACGGATGCGTGGCCGAACAAAAAAAAAAAAAAAAAGTACGAGAGAGAGATGGAGGGGTTTCGAAGAATCATAAGATGAAGTTTGCCTGGGAGTGTTTGTATGAGTCGTAACTCGTCATCATTATTCGTGAGGTGTTGATACAGTTACAGTAGGTAGGTAATACAGGGTATCTCGGGAAGCCATCCAAAACACGACGCGCCGCGCCGCATCGCTCCAATGCTGTCGGTCTGCTCCAGTCCTTTTCCCTCATCGGGCAGACAAAACCTGCCCCAGTCCCGCGCAGGCCTCTGGGCTCAGCGAAGCTCGGAAATCTGTCGACCTTCTCCAGTGCTCGCGGTCGATGCGCTCCTCCTCCTTGCGGATCTTCAAGTCCAGCAGGCCGTCATCGCCCTTGCACCGACGGACCATCTCGGCCTCGAGCTTCTTAAACGCCTCCCAGTCATCCATCTGCGATGGCCGAGGCACTTGCTGCACCTGCTCGAGACTCTTCTGGCCGTCGACGTGTTCCAGCAGGAGCTCAAGGCGATATTTGTCTGTATTGGCATCCAGCTTGTTGCCGTATTGGCGGATGATGTAACTAGAGCTTTTTCAGTAAGAATCGCATGGAATGGGAACGATTTGTTGCTTACAGTCCGTCATAGCGCACGCCAGCCTTGGGAGCCAGTGTACTCTTGAGGCGGTAGCCCCTGAGGATGCGAATTCGGGTGCCGACCTTGGTGAGGAGAGAGACGTGCATGTCAGAGAGGCTGCCCTCGCGGACGTATCGATAGAGGTCGCCACGAACGTGCTCCTCACAGCCGGTCAAGAGTGGAAGGGCAGTGACTCCATATTTCCCCTTGGTGGGTTTCTCGACAGCAGTGCCGAGAATGCCATCACGGTAGGCGCAGGCCAGATTCAGCCACCAGCTGTTGGGGGTTAATATTGATTTCATAGATAGCAAAACGAATTTGGCGACTCACTGGCCAGGCTCAAACTGCTGGTTTCCTTCAAGCTCCGAGATGGGATCGCGGGAGCTGTCGTGAACGGTCCAGGATTCGAGGGGATCGACGCCGGCAGTGGTGAAGTGAATGTCGCGCATCTCACCGCCGGTGTGCAAGCTGCGCTGGCGCACCTCATCAAGGGCGAAGTATGGCTCGCGGAACCGGGCCCTCCACATCTTTTGGAGGCTCTCGGCTACAGCCATATCGGCACGGAAGCGGAGGGGCAGCGGGGATGGGCGGTTGGCAGGATCAACAATGTCGGCGAGGAGCTTGTCCAGACGAGCGTATTGAATTGTCTCGAAATCGAGGAAGGGAGTGTGCCGAAGCTCCCCCTTCAAAGCACTCTCCAAGAGTTCTTGTATTCTGTCTGCGCAAGGCCCAAGGCTCTTCTCCTGGCGAAGGGAGGTTCGCACCGAGTCGCAAAGCTCGAGGAGTTCCTCCTTGGTCGGTAAGGGCTCGGCCGGGGAGGAGACGAGAGCGGCTGGAAAGATGTCAGACTGTGAAAGGAGTCTGTTGACGTTTGGGTGATGCTGACCTGCACCGGCGTGTCTAATAAAGTACGTCTCTGATGCTCCGTCTACCTGGAACGGCGAGCGGCAGGGCCTGGTCATAACTTCAGTGGGTGACATGGCGGTTCAACGTCCAGGGTTGCCGCGATTCCGCGAGGCCAAAGTTGAATGACGAGTACTGAGGTCGACGGCGTCCGGTTCGCGAGTTGATTTGTACGCGGCCGGTAGCTGGATGGACATGTGAGTATGTGTGCTTGTGTAATATTCACACTCTGAGTGGTTTTTGGTTGTTTGTTTGTTTGTTCTGAGAAACAAGAACCTTGAGATTGGCGAAGAACGAGCATCGGGTTATATGAAAAGTAGGACATCAGGGAAAGGCCTGGAGAAAAGAGTGGCGGTGGAGCTAGCAAGACGTGCACCCCTGAACTTGGATGTTGGCGGCGATGTGAGATGGCCGGAAGGAGAAATGACAAATGTTCCTGGTGGTACTTGCCGTGAAACAAAACGTCCAAGGGAGGATTGTCCATCCGTCGGAACCAGACAGCTGGGTTCACGTTCGGCGCACCATGGCCGGTGCGGTCGTCGCAATTGTCACATCAGGCGATTCCCACGCTACTGAAGGTTTGGTTTGGGTTGACATCCGAATATGACGGACTGTGGCGCTGGCAAGCGAGACCGAGCAGTGTCTACCAGCTCACCGCCATGGGAGGCACAATCAAGCCAGCCGGCTGGGCAAACGAGCTAGGAAAGCTACGGTGGGAGTCCAGAATATCTGGATCTTGTCCTAGGAGGGACCAGAGTGTCGGGTCGCCGATGGAGAAAAGACACCTGATGAGGCGTCCTGATGACAGAGGCTGTTCCAGGCTTGGGACGGTGAAGGGGAAGACCACGCGTGTGGACGGCCTTCTGAGACTAGTAGGATCTTCTACGACCATCTTGGAAGGACACAAGTCCGCCGGCTGCGGTGCCTGTATTGGGGATGGCCTCCTTTGCGATCATACCAACTCCGGCGATGCTGCAAGACGCCTCGTTACACAATAAGAGCCTACGGGCAACCACAAGTCACAGAGCCGGCACGAGGGGGGGCGACGGAGTACACAGTAGGTAGGCTAGGATGGTAAGGGCAACAAGGGCAGAACCTCTCCTCCCTCCCTCCCTCCCCGGACTAAGCTGCCGATGTCTCACTGGCCCATGTGGCATCTGTCCGGAAATGTCGTAGTCCTTGCCGGTCGGCGATTTGGTCGGCAGTGTAACTCTTTCCGGCCTGCATTCGGAGTTCTCCTCCTCCCCGATGTCCTAGCGGCCGCGGAAGTCTTTGACTTCATGGCCCAGTGGTTCAGATGGCCCCAAATGCAAAGACGGACCGCCTCATTTATCAACCATCGTGTCCAGTAAAGTTTTCATCGGGTCATTTTAAGTTCTCCCCGACGCACTTCATTAGTAGCGACTACCATCTGGGCGGGCTTGCATCACCACCTAGTCAAACACTTGCTTGATCTTATGGAGCCAGGCCCGGGCCAAAGGGTTGTGCCTGATCGTATCGACCCAACGGCCGTCATCACACCTAAATCGGGGGAAGCAGATGAGGTGAGTACGCCTGGTTGATCTGCTGCTTGTTTCTGATGCCTTCCCAAGCCGGCGTGTCAGCTTTAATCCTGTCTCACTTCGAGGCGCGTCACGCTGAAAGAGGGGCCCGAAGCCAGCTTTTCGAGCCCTTGGAGCGCGCTATGATAGTTACTCGAAAGCCAACGAGCCAGGCACGTTGAAGTGTGAGGTCACCGTCGTTTCAAGGACAATAACGGCGAGCCAGAAGGGTTCTCGGTGAGAGACGTAAGTGGACACCTGTTGACGTCAGGACGCATGGGATATCAACCGAATATCCTTTCAGATATACCGATGGAGAGGCGCTCAGTCAGTACGTTGGTAGACCTAGCATTCTTGCTTCGATTGAAGCTACAGAGGGCGGCGAGATAGTTGCGAGCGTCAAGGTCGACCGCTGAAAGCGAGATGCTTGGCAAGAACCCGCCGATATCCGGCGAATATAGCCCTTGTGAAAGTATGACCTCGGAGTCTGAACAAGAGGGCTCATACGACTTGGATGGGCTGACGCTCGCTTAGAGTCAAACACGTTTTTATTTTATTTTGTCCATCAGTCGGACGATTCCTTCAAAGTGATTCGAGTTGGATGAGAGGTCGCCGACCGCCACAACGTGAGGGAGGGGAGAAAACGGCACAGTTTCTCCAAACCGAGCTAAGTATGTCGAGCTCGTTGAAGCCAACAAAGGCGGCCGGCGGTTCGGCAACGCCCATGGGGAAAGCCATGCGAACCTGTAATAGGCAGGAAGAGATGAGTGTTCCCAGGGAGAAGAAAAGACAAACTCCAAGATCAGAGATGGAGTTCACCGTTGAGATCGATCCCATGCAGAACGGATGAAGCTGTCGTTCGGTGTCAAGATCTGATCTGAGTCTTTGCCCGGTAAACGGCGATAAGCTGAGTAGGAACAAGGTGCGGGTTGGTTGTACGGAGGTAAGATGCATCGAGCCAAGCAGGCGACGGTGCCAGGGGAAAAGACGGTGCAAGCCAAGGTTGACCTCTTGCACTAGGTACTCCAACAACCTGAAGATGTATCTTGACAAAAGGAGAAATTTACGTCAAGATCTAGAAACAAAGGAGCTCAGCTTGTCGATGCTGTCTGTGGTTGCCGTTTAGATGTTAGGTGGATGAGGTAGAGAGTACGGATACTTGGTACGTAAAAGGCGTTGTCTCCACTTTTTTCCAGTGCCACCTCTCTCTCTGATAGCAGGCTTTCCACGTGCAAATCTTGGACTTGCCAACTGCCATCCTCCCACCAAACACCAGACACCACCATTCTCGAGTTAACGAGCGCCGGAAATGGACACCAACAAAGATCTCCTCGCCAAAGCGCAGGAGTACTCGTCTAACAACGTCGACCTCTACGAGCTGCTGCAGATCAGCACTACGATAACCGAAGAGAAGGAGGTCAGGCGCGCGTGGCGTAAACAGTCGCTCAACTACCACCCGGACAAGCTCAAGGACGCATTCGACCCCGAAAAATGGGAGCTCATCGAAACCGCGCGCGATATCCTCCTCGACGCCGCCGCCCGTGCCGCCTACGACAACGCCCGTAAGGCCGCCCTCCTGCGCAAGGCCGAGCGCGATCGCGTCCAGGGACAGCGCAAGCGCCTGATTGACGAGCTCGAGGCCGCGGAGCAGGAGGGGAAGAGGCAGAAGCTGGCTGATGAGGAGCGCGCGCGAGAACTCGAACGGGAACGGGCGCGGCTTGCCGAGGAGGGACGCCGGCGCATGGCCGAGGAGGCGGAGCGGTTCAAGAAGGAAACCCTTGAGCGTTTAGAGCGGGAGAGGGAACCCGACGAGTACGACGAGAAGCTGGCCGAGCTACAGAGGCGGCTGGACGAGAAGAAGAGACTCAAGGCCGAGAAGAAGGCGAGGAAGAAGGGCGGTGTGGCCGACGGCGCTGATCCCGCCGCGGCGTCAGGCACCTCAAATACCCCTGACCCCGTACCGGCGCCAGCGCCAAAGGCACCTGTCAAATGGGAGGACCTCAAGGCTCGGATGAGTGCAGCACAGAGACTCAAGGAGGTCAAGAAGGCCGCCGAGGCCGGCCTGGCTACGGAGGAAGATGTGAAGCAAAAATACGAGGCACTCAGGGCCCTGAACCCGAATCGTGCAGGCTGAAATAACAAAGGAAGCGGCAGACGCCGGAGCGACGCGAGGCGGACCATCAGTCAAGAATGGGCGGCGATGCGATAAAAATAAAAGCGACGAAAAAGCGACGGCAGGTGTTGACGATGGAGGAGGCAACCGCGGCCTTGTGTTTTATACAATTATACCCCTTTTCTCTTATCTGTACAATCAGATGGGCACTGACTTTCTACTGTGCAGATGCCAACCCATTTCTTAGCCACTCTGGTACGAACGCCTTGATCTTTACTGCGTTGCTCTTATCCTCTCCGCCCCATTGTAACAGGAACTCGTCGGCCGGGTCAAAGGTCGAGGCGGCCGCCTCGCCGGGGAGGACGACATCCGTCATGATCTCGAGGCGACAGAGTCCTAGGCCGACGTTGCCGATGCCCTTGAGCCACTTGCCGGCGCTTCTGCCCCTCTTGCCTGCTCTGCCGATGCCCGTCTCCCGTGGGATCGTCTCTGCGGGCAACCCCTCGGGACCGTGATTTGCGTCCTGCTCCGGCCGGTACTGCAGCGTCTGGGGAGTGGCCCTGTCCACGTCGTAAATCATGCATGGCAGTATCCTCTTGCGCACTACTCCACGATGCTTCGTCCGGATCGTAAGCTCCTGCCCCACGTAGCAGCCCTTGTGATAGTCGATGCCGTTCATGTAGTCCATGTTGGTCTCTTGCGGCAACGCGTGCTCCCTGATGATCTCGTCCTGGCCCTCGGCGACGCCCTGCATGTACCGCCTGATGGTGTAGCTGTCCTCGGTCGTCGCGTCGAGGTCCAGCGGCGGCGGCGTGTCCCTGCCGTGCACCAGGCGGTACCCCAACTCCGGCGTCCGCGGATCTCTGGTGACGGTGCTCAGCAGCGCAGCGTCCGTCGTCATGGGCTTTCCGCCGTCGTCCCAGGCGTGCCACACCGTCGCCTCGTCCGTCGCGAGCAGCCGCACGTTCAGCTTGGCCCGCAGCTTATACCGCTTGATGTGCTTCGCCAGCCTCTCGGCCTCGTTCGCGTCGACCTCGACCAGGAACCTGGTGCCGGCCTGCTCGGACTCGGCGGCGACGTCGCCGCCGAGTCCGGCGAGGTCCGGGTAGATGAAGACATCGTGCAGTACGCGGCCGGTGGCGTTGAGGAAGGCGGCATAGAAGCCCGTCTGCCGCGCGCGGGCCTCCTTGGACGCGATGTCGCGCGTGATGACGCCTTGCAGGAACTTGGCGGCGTCAGGGCCGGCGACGGAGATGAGGCGCCGCGACGGGAGGGCCGCGTAGCCGGCCGAGGGCGGTGCGGGCGGCGGCGGGGTTATGTTGCTCGTGTAGTGCCGGCGCTGGCGCTGTTGGCGACAGGAGCGGCATATGAAGTTCGCAGCGGACAGCTGCTTGCGCGCCGTGAGCGCCGCGTTTCGGGCGATGCCGTTCATCGTCGGTCGTCGGGTCTTGCTTGTAATCAGCTACTGGGAGAGTGTGTTGCTTCGAGATGCAATCGGGCGAGAAAGAAGAACAAGAAAGTAAAGAAAAACAAAGAGGGATTGCCGGTGCAGTCGGCGACCGAGCTGGGTGTGCGGCATTCGAATGCCCGGTCGAGGATTCGCGCGTTGGAAAATTGTTCCCACTGGTTTGTAATGACGTCCCAGCTCCGGGATGCACGGGACACCTCGGGACTCACTGACCGGGGGATTTTGCTAATGTCAGTCGGTCGGGCGGGTAGTTCCGAACCATCCCCGCTAGCGACCAAGTTATAGGCTTTGAGTCTTTTGAGTCCCTCCTATGGCCCGTGTCACGGCCCCTGGAGCTAAAGTGCTGACTGGAACGACGACGCGCTTCACAGTCCATCCTCGAGAGCAAGATACACACGTACGGAATACTGCATTGTGACGTAGGTAATATTACAGTATGCATGTCGTGGGCACCTCCATTCTGCATGAGTAGGACATGTTCATTGGTCAGTCACACAGCAAGGCGAACAAACAACCGCAACGCCTGAGTGGTTGTTTGGCGTTCACCCTCATCTCGAACAGATTCAAGCATGTCCCAATGGAGCAACATCGTGTTCTATCCACCTCACTGGACTATGCTACAGTGATCGTTTGCGTGGTGAATGTGTTTCCTTATGCAAGACTGACATGCAGATACCGTTCCGGTCACCCGAGGCATCTGGTCTCTCTGGGTTCCTATTCGGCGTGGCTGGGAATGCCATCACCCTCCGCCATGTCGTTGCTCTCTGTGCCTCGAGCTCAGCAATCCATCACCATGGGCCCGCTCGCTGGCAAGGCTGAAGGCCTTCGATACGGGCTTGGTGCCACCCAATTTCCCCTTAATCATCATGCACCGCCACTGTCCCTGTCAGCGCTAATGCTCGAAACCTCGTGGTGGTGATTGCCAAGAGAAGCAACAGCCGCCCGTAGCATATATGGGTCCGGGGATCGACACGCCGGTGGACTCAAAACTGAGAGGTCTGACCGACCAGGGGTTTATTCTTGGCTGATTGTTATTCGACGACACGCGAATCCCACAGTAACCATGTGTCTCTGCCAATCCTGCCTAGCCGTGGAACACCCGGGATTAGTTCTTCCCCCCTCGTACTCGTTTTGATCTGTCTAGATCCTGCATCTCAAACTTCCTTCCCTTCGATCCGTGCTGTGGTTGCCGTTTGGTGCGACATCGACGCCATCTCCAACGGCTATTTGGCGGGTTGCAGCGATTATCTCAAAGAGCGCCTTTTGAGTGCGGCGCCTCCAACCGCCCTGCGCATCGTGCTTCCTAGTTCACTGTGGCGCATCGTAGTGGTTCTTCGTCTCAAGACAACCTCATACCTCGTCCGGACGCCCCTCCCGCGCCCGACTACCATAATGGTGTCGAGGGGATGGCTGGTGGCACTCTTTGCCGCGGCTCACCTCTCACCGGTTTGTAGCGCCGACGACGCCGACGACGCCGGCGCATTGGATGTTCCTCCGGTCGCCAACTTCCTGAGACGAGTCTTCGCTCGATGTGAGTCTCGCCTGATTCGCACGACAGCCTAGCGAGGGGGGAGCAACTGACGATATGCAGCTTCCGTCATCGGCAACTGGGCTTATTTTGACGGAGGAGAGGTGTCTCAGCACATTGGCAACGGGCAGAACACCTCGAGGCCGTCCTCGCCGCTGTCAAGCACCCTCTCCATCGACCTCTCCAAGTCCTGGAAGCCCGCCGACGTGGAGATCAAGCAGACCCAAAAGTTCGCCCCGAAGATGAATAGGCAGGCAGTATTCACCGACGCCTCGTCCAACTCGTTCTACATTTGGGGAGGACACACGTCGTACCTCGCCGATCCGCCTTCCCCGCGCCTCTGGAAGTTCAGCGCCGACGGCAGCGGGGGCGGCTCGTGGAGCACCGAGATCAAGCCCGGCCACGATCTCTTCACCCGGCTCACCCGCTCACAGGGCGCCGCCTACGTCAGCACTCCCGACTCAGGTTTCTACTTTGGCGGCTTCTCCAGCGGCTCTGCCGACCCGAACCCCAAGGGCCCCGTGCCTGGATTCTTGGAGTTTAACTACACGGCGACGGACCAGGCGTGGAAAAACCACACAGTGGCCCCTTACTCAACCTCTGGCAATGTGGTCGGGGCCAGCGCGCATTACGTCCCCAGCTTTGGGCCCAACGGCATCGTCATGATGTTTGGCGGGGCTTCCCACGTCATCGGAGCCGGGCAGAGCAACAGTAACGTGGGTTGGCTTGGTTTCGACACAATCTACGTCATGGAACCCTTGTCCAAAAGGTGGTATTCCCAGAAGACCAGCGGGAATGCTCCCGGCGCGCGCATGTGGCACTGCACAGCCGGCGCCGTGAGCCAGAACAACACTTATGAGATGTAGGCGGACGACGACCTCATCGGACGGCCCTGATCGCAGTACACTAACCTTGTTCTAGTTTCGTCTTCGGCGGCAGCAACACAGCGAACAAAGAGACCTACGACGAGGTCTACGTCCTCTCGCTCCCCGGGTTCGTCTGGATCAAGGCGGACTACGCGCCCAGTTCGCCGCGGGATTGCATGTCGTGCGTTGTCGCTGGTCGGCGCCAGATGGTCACCTTTGGAGGCGTTGACCGGATGCGTTGGAACGACAACTCGACAAACTTCTTCCGCGATCCGGACCCGTTTCCCCAGGGAGTGGGCGTCTTCGACCTGACGGATTTGAAGTGGAAGGACGAGTACGACGCCGATGCTTCTAGCTACGACTCGCCGGAGGCCATCAAGGCCTGGTATAACGAAGGGTAAGCTACGCCTCCTCCAGTGCGTTCGCCACTGGGTCGCTAACGAGCTACAGAAACATCGCGAGTGTCCAGTACTCTGATGCGGTCGCACGGCTCATGAGTTCCGGCACCTCCGGTTCCGCCTTCTTCTCCGGCTCGGGTTCCGGCCCGGATTCCGGCTCGGATCCCGGCTCGGATCCCGCACCTGGCGACTCCGGATCCGGCTCGGTAAACGCTGGCGCCATCGCCGGTGGCGTGGTGGGGGGCGTTGCAGGCATAGCCCTGATCAGCCTGGCCGCGTTTTATCTCATGAGACGGCGGAAGCACAAGCGGGCTCCCGCCCAGGAGAGCGGCGGCGCCGTAGAAGACCCGATCTATCCCCAAGAAATGGAGCATTCGTATTCTCCCAACCCGCCCCCGACGTCGTCCGTGGCGCCGTCCGAGCTTCACGGGGAGTACCGCGATCACTCGCCGTACTCTATGGGGGAGGTCCCCAAGATGATGCAACCGCCAGAGATGGACGCGCAGGACCCGCGGTATGGCCACGCCGCAGAACTGGACGCGTCGGAGACGCGGAGGTGATTTTGCCTTTCGGTCCCGAAAGAAACGTGGTAATGAGATGTACATATCAATCTGCCTCAGCATAGCGAGGGGCTGTCGAACGATCCTATACCCCGGATATGTACTCCACGGAGTTTGTTCTGTTTTCACTCAGACTAGATTAGATATACGTACATGACGGGGATGTTCATGTGAAATACTGCTGGTAATCAATGGATAAAGAATACTCAACAATGGAGTGGGGGAACACGCACTTCCAAACAGACCGTATATAGAAGTATGACGAGCCTGTACAGCCAACCCGCAACACACCCATCAGGGTACTACTTAGAGCTGCGGTCTTTCGGCGCTTTGGAGGCGCCTCGCCTTCCAGCAAGCTATCTATCCTCGTTCGCTGACCTCCGCCTACCGGCCGAAGATGCAGCTTTGGTTCTCGAAACCGAGAACAGTATAGCCGCTTGTGCCAGCAACTTTAGACTCTCTCAGCGTCGCCACCTCTGTGGTGGTAATCATTGAACCCGATGGACAAGTCTTGCGAACCCCAAATCAGCCAAACGTGTCAGACGAGGCTGTGAATAAAATCGAGGAGGGAAAAAGTCCGTCTCTTGCGCGGCACATAGGCCAAGCATGCGCACCGGAGACTGCAACCAACATCAACCGGCACCCATAGCACCCTGTCGGTGCTCAAGGCTATTTATCGCAACGTCGGCAGGGAAGGCAAAGTCACCTGCCATGGACCATGTTTTGGGACCATATGACGCCGGTGACAGCATCGTGAACGACCGCGGCTCCAACTACTCACGTCGCTCTGGTGATCCTCCACATGGCTCAGACGCTGAACGCGGGTGGTCATGACTGGACGTGATGACTCTCGCCCATGTCAGAACCATGACAGCATTCCAATCTCGGAAACCAGACGATGGGCTTCATCCATTAGCAAGAAAATAGCTGGCCAGTCGTGCAAAGACCTCGGGAACGAGCTTCCGGTCAATACAACGATACCACTGCCCCCATAAGATGTCGACGCAGAGGTCGCAGAAGACAACACGACCAAATTGCAACAAGCGAAACCCGAAGAAGCCACGGCTCTATCAAAGTGCCTGGTATCGAAGAAGTGAGAGCTAAAGGACGACGCACCTTGAATTGATTGGTCTTGTTGTAACTGAAAATTCTTGTATTGTATTGGCCATTGCGGTTGGGAAATGCCCTTACCTCAGGAAACGAGCCGAGAAGGAAGGTCTTAGTCTCTAGCCCTCGAGGATCCATACCCCCGCCCAGTACAGCTCATGACCACGGCCGCGAGGAATCACAGAAATATAGAGGGAGACAAGAAATACGACGATGTACGTCAGAGCGAACCCGAAAACGACTATTTCGATGGAACCCAGGAAGCCGTTGGTGACCACGGCCCGGCACGCACCGGTGTCCCCACTCATCCGATAAGCTGACGCCGGACCGGACCCGGGACCCCGGGCTTCGCTTCCGCGCTCACATTGGACGGGCGATGGCAGACGACGAGAGAACCATTGTGCACCGATTCCGGCAGCATCGATGACCAACCGGTAACACCGACGGCCGCCTAACACCCAACAATGTGAGCCATCGCTCACGGCTCCCAACCGCACGGCCAAAC